TATATATATATATATATATATATATATATATATATATATATATATATATATATATATATATATATATATATATAACGCCCAAGCTGCCGCCATAAGCGTCCTCTTCAGGGATTGTTAAATAAATAAATAAATAAATAAATAAATAAATAAATAAATACATACATGAATAAATAAATAAACTCTTTGGATACATGACGTAAAGAGCGTGTGTGTTTAAAGTGCGTGCTAATTAAACGCCCTTAAGATTACTCAATAGTGAATGAAATTCGGTAGGAAACCCATTGCCATTATCGTGTGTCTTCTAGTGTCGTGCACGTCCTTTTTAAAAAAAGTGACTGTTGTGTCAATGATAAAATGAACAGAAATGGTACAGTGCTGTACAATTGGTATGGATGTTTACCTGTTCTTTATGGTGTCTTGTAATAATCCTCGAGTTCTTGACATTTTTCTCACGCATACATTTGCATTCGGATTGCAAATGTTTATCATATGTTTATTATATCATGTTTATCATATGTACAATATTCTTAGAGTCACAGGTATATTAATTCAGTTTAAACATTTAGTTAAAGTGTTTAGCCACCTGGAGTGATCAAAGTGCTGTTCACAATGGATACGCTGAGGAATATGATGAATATTATAAATTGATAAATGTTTAAACTTAGCATTCGTGCATTTATTTGTGAATTATTTGGTAAATTACGAAGAAAATTTGTTGATTAGGTGGGACACAAACGACATCAACATTTTTCATACTGTTCAAAATTTTATTCCACAGACTTAACTATCTCTCAATATAGGCTACAAATACAAACCATGTGAACTTTTAAACAGAGAAATGGGTCTATAAACTGAAAGTACAATATCTTGCCGTCAAATAAAAATAGTTTTGGTTCCTTGTCTAAATATGATGAATATGAAGAACCAATATAATCTATAATAATATTGACTTTTGCTATTTCATTATTGTAAAAAAAATATTTTCAAGATTTAAATCAGATTTAAAAGAACAATGTAACTGAATATTTGTTTCTTTGTTTTTAACTTTGAAAAAATCCCTATGGTTGTGCTGGTTGTCCCTCTGGAGGATGCAACTACAACAATCACTTGCTTCAATATGTAGGAATTTCGTTTCAATTGCTACAGGTGAGAAAGCACAAAATGCGGCTCACCTGGCAACCTTTTTATAACGTCTTTTTAATTATATTTTATATGACTACAACGCAGATCTATTGTATAATTATTACCATATCATATTATATGATCTATTCTCGGAAATGAATTTCAACCCATGTGCATTTCTAGCGTCATGTGGTTTACATGCAATTTTGATTGTACACTTCGATTCATTTTCAGTGAAATGATAAATGCAGATGATACCCAGTTGTACACATCTTGTAACATCCATGATCCAGCATTGTCTGTGAACACCATTGTTGACTGCATATCAGTTCTTAGAGGTTGGCTCATTTCAAACAAATTGAAGATAAATGATGGAAAAACAGACTTTTTAGTCATTACTCAACCCCACGACAAGGGCTTTGCTCACAACCTGCAACTTAAAATTGGAGCTAGTATGGCATTATCCTCCCCCCCCCCCATGTAAAAAATTTAGGAGTATACTTTGATGCTACACTTTCAATGGACAAGCAGATTTCCAACATCACAAGGTCTTGTTTATTCAACATTCGGAATATTGGCACCATGAGGAAATATCTGAATCAATCTTCTGCTGCTACTGTTATACACTCATTGGTAACTTCCAGGTTGGCAATTCTGTATTATATGGATGTCCAGATGATAAGATCATAGGATTACAACGCATCCAGAATATCTCTGCACGGCTTTTAATGCTACAGCCTAGGAATTGCCATATCACTCCAATTTTAAAGCAGTTGAACTGGTTACCAGTTAGGGCCAGAATTTTATTTAAGGTTTTAGTTTTTACACATGCTGCTTTTTATAACCTAGCCCTCAAAGATCCCTGAGGTCTGGTGACAAACTTTTACTGAAAGTTCCCAAATCAAAGTTAAAAACATATGGTGACATAGCATTTTGTATAGCTGCACCGGTAGAATGGAATAAGTTACCAATTTTTATTAGACGAAAAGAACCACAAGAATCTTTTAAAAAGGAATTGAAAAGTCACATTTTTAAGACATTTTATTCATTAATTTTAAATTTCACATAAAAGAAACCTTGGATTTTTTACTTTTAATTACTGTTTAATTACTGTTTAATATATATCTTAACCATTTTATCTATAAACTTCTTTGTATTTTATGTTGTACAGTCTATTGAACATGTTATGGATTTTAGACTCGAAATAAATATAATAATATTATTATTATATAAATAAAAAAGCCCTAATTTTGGGCCAAAAATTTTTACATATGTCTTCTACTGTTTTTTAATGTCTGAATATTTGTCAGCTTTGCTGTCTACCGTATTCTTATTTTCTCTTGAAAATTTTCACCCGCAAACTAACAAAAAGTGCCAATGTATCCTCCATTATGTAGACTGCAAGATAAAATTATATGTACTCAAATAAAATATATTTTATGAAGTTTTGTGGGTGAGTCAGATTTTCATTATGAAATTTTTTACTGGGGAGTCAGATTTTCACGTTACATCGCACCACCTCTCACAGAGAGTTAGGAAATACATCTTTTCAATATGTTTATCACAATACATGTATGTTACCTAAGGCGTGCTTTTAATAATAATAATAATAATAATAATAATAATAATAATAATAATAATAATGTCACGTTTTTTCTTAAAGTTCTATTGTTTTCCAAGATATCGTGACACGGAGGTAATAACAGCAGGTAAAGAACAACAAAGTCCTGGTTTTTCTTCAATCCAGTAAGAAAGGGAAGTTTGGCGTAGTCAAACGTTTATTTATGGCGACGGTCTGATTCTTCACAAGTTGTTAACATTTTTGCTCTAGCCTCGGATTCAATGCTGCATCTATCGCGATCAGACTCCCTGTCCAATCACGGACGTTTATTATGGCATAACTTGCCAAAAATTTGCATAAGCCTCGGATTCAACGCTGCATCTTTTGATCAGACACCCTGTCCAATCACGGACGGGGGTTTCACTTAGGTTCGCGCCTCAGCGTTTAACCAAATGAGCGTTACTATTCCTTCCCACTCTGCTTTATACAAGTTTCTATAGTGTATGCAATTGTAAGAATAATTTTACGTTCGCCATCTTCAATTTTGATTGGTGGCGGGAATCAAAACATCACACTTGTGTCTGTTACATTACTAACGCGGTCATATCCTAATTATTACTTCAACTCAGATCAAGGAGACATAAAGGCTTTATTGAATTTTAGATGAGAGGTACTAACAAAGCACACCTTCGGAATGAAGTTACTCTCTCCACTCGGAACTACTCGGATGTCTCCGCACTCGACAATAAGTATGGAGCTCTCGGAATGAGCCGAGGATTGCCGATTGTACTCTCTCAGTAGATTGATGCTGCTCAGATGATACAGGCACCTCAGACGGAACAATAGTGGAACGGTAGCGCAATGTAATGAATAATGACCAACTGTTACTCTAAGAGCGGGCTTCGCTTTTTATCTGTTTTAACCACCAAATGATGATCAAGTGTTCATTGCGCACGTCACATTTTTTACGTATACCACGCTCAAAGATTTCCTAAAAACGGAGACAAACTGTATATTCTGAGCAGATCATTTCTATTTATTCTCCGATTTCCATTTTGTTTAGCATCAATTCCTCTTCCTGTATTCTTAATTAAGCGCCCATTAGGCAACAAGCGCTACATGCTATTCCAATTGAATTTCTTTGGTATTCTACAATGGTTACTAATTACAGTCCACAGGTACACTAGTCTGTGTCTACTTTGAACTATTTTCGTATCACCTGAATTACTATGTTTGAAGATATCTCACTCATGCTTAGAGTTTATGTTACTTTTTAAAACAATTAATTTTAAAATCCTTTAAATCATCATGCATAAATAAAATCATTATAACACCAATAAGAAATAAAATTAAAACAGTACACCATGCGAACAAATGCAAAATTACTATAAAACAAAAAATCAATAAAGTGCAAAATAAATCATTAAAGCCATTGAAATAGCTACATGCAAAAAAGCATTTGTTAATATAATCTTATGTTGTCCACATAATTGGGATCATAAGGTAATGTTTAACCCACCAGGGTCACATATTGATTTTTCACAGATGTCTCATGACACTATTCTCTGCTGTATAGATAAGTGTTCATGATTTATCTGCTGCCCTGGTAGAGGCTACAAGTTAAAGGGATACCAATTGTTCATATGAGATTCGATATTCCACAATAAATACATTCTAAACAACATAAAACATGGACCTTAATAGATGGTTACCCTCCGTCATAATCTCTTTTGGTAATAATCTCTTAAGAGAGTAAAAATATTTACACAGACTAATCTCTTAAGAGATTATTCCAAAAAAAAAAAAAAAAAAAAAAAAAACAATTCAATAACTTTGAACATCAGAACGAATTTATTAACCATTGGAAAGTATGGGAAAATTGTCGTTTACCTCAGGAAAATCTGATTATGGAACCTTCTTCCCAAAATAAAGTTGTTATCCCTTTAACCACAAACCTTCTTATCAAATCATTCACAAGCGACGACAGGTCCAGATAAGATAAGAGTCAAGTGACTTGGACATTTCATGCCAGCACTGAATCGAGAATCATTTATCGAGTGAAGGAAAATTTTTCAAAAATTTAATTTAATTTTAGGATCAAACCAACACCTAAAACTTTCAGCTTCAGAGACCAACCCAGTAAGTGTGAGCATATTAATATACAGCAGGCAAGTAAAGCGAAAGTTCGAAAGAAAATGATCTACTCTGAATCAAAATTTGATCTAGATTCTATGCGATTTCTTAAGGAGTTATGCATCTAGGTATGTAGCATATTAAGTCAATCCAGAGAGTAAAAAGATCTAAATTATCAGAAAAGGCCTCCAACATAGGTAAAATGATTTGGAATACGATGAAAGGGGGCACAAATGATTACTCATCAGCTAATATGGATTTCCATATACTGCTAATAAACAGTATACAAGAACGAACAGTCTATATCAATTAAGTCATAACTTTCAGTTCCTGTGGACCTTTCTTTTTAAAAACTTGATACCAACTTTCTTTTTTGTCCGCTGGGCAGAGGTCGTAGAACATCTTTCCATCCAGTTGGACGTATCCATCAGATAGTGTGCCGTCAATATTTTCTGTAATTAGATAAAGGTGACAGGAATTTATTTACCTTAAAATTTGTACTTTAAAATTATGTTTCAAATATAATCAATATCACTTTAATATAATGACGGATTTTTTTCTTTAAATTATGCCTACCTTGTTTGAGAAATACACAAATATGACAGCCTCTGTGCCAGTTTCCGGCTCCATCCTGGCAAACAAACCTCCTGGAAAAATGGTCCAAAGCGTTTAAGCATTTCAGCGACTTCATTACTTGGCTTGTATTGCGGTCGTTCACTAGTGGTTGGAAATATATACGCGGCAAGTAGCGAAGGCCGTAGTGTAACCGATAACCATCCAATTCACGTGGCCCTGGCGAAGAAGTTGTAGCCCTGTCGTCCTCTATGTCCTTTCGATCGGCGTTGAAATATTTAGCTGTCGTTGCCAAAGGCGGATAAGCTCGTACATTGGCGGGGTAGTCCTCGGCTCTTGTACCTCTCAACCAATTTTTTTTATTCGCGTAGACCACTTCCAGTGAGTGCGGGTAGTTAGGGATTCTCGTTTTAAGTCTTTCATAAATTTTTACATACTCCTCCACGTCATCTACACAGAAATGCCCGTGGAACTTTTCAGGCTTTGGGTTAAACCACTGACCACGATGAATAGAAAGGATACCGCTGATTTTGAATTTTTTGCTGATTTCCGATGCAAATTCCACCAATTCTTGCCGTTGACCACCGTTGAATTCTTCAAATGTTAGCTTCCCTGGCGGCTGCTTGGCAAGTATCACGAAGTGTGCTCTTGGAGTGAATAAATCAAACTCCAATCTATAACAATCGGAGCTTCCTAATAGATCGTACGGTACAGGACTCCGCAGCGGACCACGAGCCATTTTCTCTGTGAAGACACTTGCTTATCGTAATTCGTGCTTATATATACATTCAAAAGCAAAACTTGGAAATTTTTCACTTCTCAAAATATATTTCCGGATAATCAGTTAGGTTTCGTTTTCTCATCCGGGCTAGAGACAAGGCGGTTGAACACCCGCACCATTTGTTAGGCAAATAAATAAAATCACTTGTTTCTCACACTCCGACGGCCTCGAAATGGCCAAAAGAAAAAAAAATTAGCCAAAAAATTATTTTTATTTTTTTTTACCGACGTCCTACTAATTATATGGTCACACGTTCGCATGACTGTGTATTAAGTTCAATGTAAAGGTCGTTAAGCCTAAGTACACTATTGGCTCATTTTTCCCTACTTCGCCAATCAGCACTTTGTTGATATTTTAACATGTGTAAAGCAACATAGCCCGGGAGAATCGTGCAGGCTCAAACAGCAGTCTGTATTTTATCCAGTGGCGGATTTACATGTATTTTACCTGCCATTAACTAAAATCTCATAAACCTATAAATATATGCATATTACTGTTTACCCTGTGAAGGCTTGTCCGACAAGAACAGACACACTCTGTCAAAGTGTCCTCGATGATTTAGGGCTACGCGTGCGTTTTTGAGAAAAATTAATATAGTATTTTTAAATAATATAATATAATATAATATAATATAATATAATATAATATAATATAATATAAATTTTAGTTTCTTTAACCATAGACATGTTGAAAATATACATTTTATTGCACCTTTTATTTATTGCACCGTAAACTGCAGCATTTCCCCAATGGCCAGCCCAATCCCTTGATCAGGACCTCAATCACAATCTCCAGCTCATACGGAACGTATCGAACGGGTAGAAAAAGCTGATTTACGATGTGTCTGGGTTCTATTGCTGTGCGCATGGCTAATTTTTCTCGGGAAGGGATAAGTGAAAGAAAACAAACATACAAAAAATACTGTCTTTACACCGCATGTGGAATGCCTTCACTCCGCTAACGTTACAAAACTTTTTAAACTCGACGCACAGATTTGGATACTGTACTAAAATGATTTTTTACGAACGTTAGCTTATTCATTGGTTGTATAATCACTACAATATGAAAAATCCTTTAATAAGTTGAATAAAGTTTATGCCTTGATTTTCTTTATCATTTTACGAATTGGATTAGGGGAGACATTTTTTGCTAGGGGGAGTATACATTGCCGTAGGTGGGACGCATTGCATTACATTGCAGTGGCATCAAGACGGAAAAAAGTACAGACAGAAAAACATTAGTATACCCTTTACCTGAAAATGACAAGAAAAGGACGACTTTGACCTGTTGGTGAAATAAAAACAAAAATAGTTAAGTGATTGAGGCAGTGAACTTGTGAGCTGTGCGTTTAATATGGTGTAAAAAACAAAACTGTATATATTACAAAATTTAAAAAAAACTCTTATCATAAAGCCGTCTGGACTGTTTGAAAATCAATCAACTATTAGCTGTCCTGGTGTGGGCCTCAATGGATAGTCTTCATACTATTTATGGGCGTTATATTTTTGTGAATGGATTGTCTTTATATTGTTTATGGGCGTAAAAGTTTTATGAAGGGATAGTCTTCATATTTTTTATGGCTGTAATATTTTTGTGAATGGATGGTCTTCATATTATTTATGGCTGTAATATTTTTGCGAATGGATGGTCTTCATATTATATATGGCTGTAATATTTTTGTGAATGGATGGTCTTCATATTATTTATGGCTGTAATATTTTTTTTGTGAATGGATGGTCTTCATATTATTTATGGCTGTAATGTTTTTGTGAATGAATAGTCTTCATATTATTTATGGCTGTAATATTTTTGTCAATGGATAGTCTTTATATTATTTATGGCTGTAATATTTTTGTCAGTGGATAGTCTTCATATTATTTATGGGTGTTACATTTTTGTGGATGGATAGTCTTCATATTATTTATGGCTGTAATATTTTTATCGATAGATAATACTATTACTGGCCGTAATATTTTGTGAATGCAGTAGTTGTGCAACACTCAACAGCGCTACCATTGTGTTAAAGTCATCCAACGCTGCATTGCCCATATTTAAGTTGTGACATTACCTCAGGGGCGGATCCAGAAAATTTAGAAGGGGGGGGGGGGTCCGTTTTTTTTTTAGGTATTGAATTGACAGGCCTCGGATTGGGAGGCCGACTCTTACCCCCTTGGCGTTAGGTTTGGGGCACGTTCGAGGGCCCCGAGAAGAATGATGTTTTGGAGGGCAAATGGCGCCATTTGGTACGGTTTAGAACTATGGTTTAGCTAGACATTTTTTAAGTCAAAAATGGAAAGGGGGATCAGGACCCCCCAGACACCCCCATAAATCCGCCACTGTACCTGACGATAACAATGCAATGGAGAAAAAGCTGTATTTGATGACAATATGCCACATACATATCTACATTTGCACCCCCTTCACAACACCTTGACAAGTCAAACTGGTATTCTGAATCCAATTATTAAAGCAAAGATTACCACCAAATGATAAAATATAGTGAAAATATTGAAAGAATATAATGCTTAAAAATATCATTTTTGTCTACTTTTTGTTGAAAACTTGAAAGCGTTTTGTATTTAGAAAAACCAAAAATGTAAGTAATGTTGACTTGATCAGTTCTTTGATTGAAGTTTTTTATTTATCTTAATAGCTTATTTCTTTTCATTCACAAGCGAATAGAATCATTTACAAGTCAAAGTGTGGTGCGGTTAATTTCTAAGTGAAATTCTATCCTACAAAGTAACCTTATATTCCATTCTACTTACATTAAGGCTGCGAAGAGAAAGTGATACAATAGATGTCAATAGATGGATTCTGACGCAATTATCTCAATGCAGATTTATACCCAACGATCAAGTGATAGATTATTTACCGCATAATCTTATAGTCATCATACGGGCATTAAAAACCTTTGTGAATACATAGCCCCCCCCCCCCCCCACACACACACACACATATGCTAACAGATAGAAATAATCTCACTCCACCCTTCATTGAGATTACGAAAACAGCACTCCCTAATATAAACTCGTTAAAGTGGCACATCCTTGGATAAGCCCGAGCTATTCCAAAGCTGGACGAAAAAGCTCTCAAAAGATAGAAGAGCCACTTTACATTCTTAAAAAGAGCTTAAACTGAGACGGAGACGAGATGGACAGACGCAGGTCTCCCGCTCAACCACTCTCATGCGTCCATTCCAGTGGTAATTGCATATGCAAGTAGTAACTAAACTCTGTAGGCCAATTTTGACACCAATTGATCAAAATTGAAATGTTTCTCTTTTATATTTTACCTGACAATACACGAAAGTTACTTCAAGTTTAAGTTTTAGGGAAAGTTACTTCTAGTTCCCATTTACTGTCTTGAACCAAATTAAAAATTGCTCCCAATAAATTATTCTCAACTTGTACGTTCGTTGTGCCTTAGACAAACTATCGGTGATTTGCTATTACTCAATAAAAAGCAAGATGCAAGGAAATTCAAATGAAAAGAATATTTCTGAATTGATTCATTTCATTAACAATCATTTTAAACTACACTTCTCTGATTTGTGGATAATGATATGTAACAGAAAGGCGTTCAGTCCACACTCTCCTATTTAGAAACAATTATTATAGAAATATCATAAATAAAGTGTTTTGCAATCATAGGCTCCTTTAGCAAAAAAAAAAAAAAAAAAAAAAAAAAAAAACATTAGCCAGCCTTGGTGGTTTGTAACTGTGTTGTTTTTGAAACAATTTTTAAGAAAATGTAGATACTAGAAATTCATGGATATAAAAAACCGGTGCTACATTTGGCTAGGTTTAAAGATTCTCAGGCTAGCACTGAGGAAAAACATACATTGTAAAAGTAACAACATAGCCTTTGCATAAGTCACGGCAATGGTGGCCTTCTTGTCAATTTATGCAACTGCAAACGGCTCTGTCATGTAATAATCGGGGTTTTGATCACACAATGTTTCGGCGTTCTCGAGGCACTGTTTTTTTATATCAATAGTTAATGCTTACATAAATGTTGTGACATCTTTTATGCTATTATGTGCAAAGCGGTCTCAAGGAATCGAAAAACCTGTGCTGGAAACAAGAGCACTGTCATTTTGAAAGCAGACACTTACTTCACCTGAAGAGTAATCAATGTCTTTTTTATTGATAATCATGCAATATGCACACCCATTTTTTTTAAGGTATTGTCTCTGTAAAAATGTAAAATCGACTAAATTGGGAGAATGGAAGAAGGAAGGTTAAGAAAGGCAGGCGCATTTCTGTCTCCCATTTTGACTCCAAAACATGCAAAGAAAATAAGTTAAAGGGATAATAACTCTTCATGTGAGATCTATATTTCACAATAAAAACATTGTGAATAAGTCATAGAAATATAATATATTCTGTTTCACCACAAAAACAGCAGTTATAGCTATTATTCTGATATCTGAGCTTGTCTTTAGACCACGCGACCTCCATTGATGGCTATACTTCGTTAAAATCTCTTAAGAGATTTTAACAAAAAACCAAACTTTTTAGAAAAAAACCAGGGACTAACTTTGAATGTCAAAATGGATTCATTAACCATTGGTAAGTATGGGAAAATTGTTGTTTACTCCAGGAAAATTCACTTTTTGGCTGAAATGAAGAGTTATTATCCCTTTAAGGGTCATTCATGGGACTTTCAGGTGATATGATATTACTGATGAATTTGTTCACCATCGATAATTACCTGATCCTCATCGCCATCTCTCTATCGTGTTCCAAAATGCAAAATCGGTCTATATTCTTTGCAGTTTTCTTTCACTTTCACACTGAAAACAGGTGTATGCACACCTGCATTCTCTTCCATTTTCACTTCGCTATAAAATAAGTTTGAGCAAAATTAAGATGAACCATTACCTTGTGCTATTCAAAGGATATGAGTTGAAATAAATAAATATATTATTTTTTTTTATTTATTATTAGTAAACGGGTATTATGAGAAGAAAATTGGCACCTTTTAAACGCAACACAAAATTTACCTTTTTCTCCAATCTTTTCTGGATAGATCTAACATGGAATCTATTTCATGAAGACGAGTCAATTAACTTGACAGAACATTTACTGTCATTGTCATTTCACTGCCGTTTCACGTTAAACACATTACAATGCATCCACATAATCAAATTATTCTACGCGTGAGTTGAAATAATTGTTATCGATTTACATGCCACTTTTAGTTGAATCTTTAAAGTTCACTCGCCCGGGTTTAATTTGGTATTAAAAAATTCATTGCCATCTCATGTCGTTGCATGTACGTTGTCGAGAAATAATTATCTCATTTATTTAATTATTTTTATTTATTATTGCCGCTTAGAAAAAAATCAATTAATTGTCTATTTAATATCAATAAATCACAAAATGGCTTTATGACTCAAATATGCCGATTATTTGTTCTTTGAAAGATAGATGAAGATAAAATTTTGTAAATATGTTGTCAAAAAATTAATTAATTAATAAAATAAAATAAATAAATAAAAATTACAATCCGCGTTTTCACCCTCTTCTCGTCCGTCATCAAATTACGTTCAAAGAAAACAGAACTTTTGCATACTGGGCGGATCGGAATTTCGTCGTTAAATGCGTTCTTAACATACTCTTGGTCGTGAACGACGGATTTTACCACATCATATGTGAAATATGATTTCTTGCATCAAAGGCCCGAAGCGATAAGCCAGGATATATACCAACCAAGTCAGAGGCTTTAAAACCATATAGTAACAACTTAGAAACAGCGAAGAGCACCAGAGAGGGATTTGCCGGCGCCAGGAATTTAACTTTCGGCGTCACATTCACAGATTATGCCGCTCACTTTTTGTGTCAAATCATTGTCTTTGTACCGAGGCCAGGGTCCGTAGCGATCAGTTTCAGCCACCGCCTTTGTAACACTATATTATCCCCCAGTCCCGCGAGGATTACCGAATAATGGACAAATACTAGATATACATCCGTCATGCCAATGATATAAGCCATTATTTGACTTCGATTGCAGGATTTAGAAACGAAATGGAAACAAAATGCGATTAGAAACTTAAATTTTTGCCGGACAATGGTCCGTCTGGCAAATGTAGGTAATGTAGTATTCGAGATAGGGTCCAAGGAGATGCGAACAACAAACAGGGCCCTGATCCTTGAATAACTCTTTTCTTCACGGAGCTTTGCGTCCGTTTCACTGGTCAATCTTACCAACGAAATAAATAAATATTTTAATGCATTAAATTGTCAGGATTTTAGGAGAAGCTAAAGTACAAATACGCATCTCTGAATAGGCTTACCAAACACAGCGGGTATGCCTACACACCGAGCACCTTGTTGTGGGCGCTGCCTAGGTGCAAATTAAAGCCTCGTCCAGCGGCCCATTGTCTTCGCTGTTTGTAAGCATTGCATAACGCTAGGGAAGATTTCAGGCAAACAGTAGTATGATTCCTTTTAAATCTTCAGCAAACAAGGAAAGTCGAAGCAAATCCATCAATCCATTTGAATGTGATTCAAGCCTCCCTTTATGCCACGCCGTGAAGAATGGGCACTGATTAAACACCAATTAATGCTACAAATAGTTGGGAATAATAGGGCTATTGGAGAACACTATAGACTCACCGTGAGCCTCACTGGACACTAAAAGCTTCTAAGCCACTCTGACCTGTCAACTTCTGACCCCTTCTGTGTTGAAGAGAGATCTTAGCAGGCATGAAAACGTGCCGAAGATTTCTATCCTTAGAGTTAAATGAGATCGCACAAACACTTAACGGTTGACACTAGGCAGAGATAGAGAATAATCTTGACTCCTGTTAAATACCTGGAGCTATCTTGCACTGGGAAATGTAATGTAAGATATCGTAAAATAAGTACCGGAACTATGTTCGGAATTGCAGTTGTGGTGAATCTTAATGGCAAAAGGGGGTTTGGAGTTATGTAAAAGACATTTTAATAGAGTCTTGAATTGATTGTTCAAGGAATAATATAAGAGCAGATACTTAATGTTTCAGTCACAGGGACAGAAATCCCTGCAGGAAGCTTGTAATATTGAGAATAGAGATAGGAAACCGGTGCGATAACACTCTAAACGATCTCTTATTCACACGTCAATGTAAAATGTCCATAGAGGTTCACTAGTTGCCTCCAAAATTTTAAACACTTAAAATATGACCTAACAAGGTGTGGCTTTGTTGTAAGACGCTAGTGACAGTAATAAACATTATAAACAATCTTTCAAGGAGGATGGGTGTTATTAAATTTACCTCTATATTAACGATCAACTTACCGATAATACTAAAAGAATATAGCTTTTTTTCTATTGCTACAAAGCGTACCTTTAATATATTTCTTGAGGAGGAGCTTTTCAATAATCCCAAGAATACAGTGTTTTACCAGATCTGTAAAATCTACAATGGGCTTAAAGCCTTAAGAACAAGTGTATGGACAGAAAACTGAATTAACATTCTGTTTTGTGAAACCGACTGGAATATCCTAGCTGCAGGGGATGAAAGAATAAAAAGCTAGAACAAAGTTTGGAAAGAATAAAGGTATGACATGGATTAACCTTATTATTAATGCAGAGCGACCCAGAATGGCATTTGCTTGTCAAAGCCATTGTAGGTGGTTTCTAAAATACCCAAGTAACAAATCGTTGCACCCATATTAAACTAATGTCAGATGCTGTATCCCCATCTGAGGATTATCAGTCAAAAAGAGAGATCATTCAATAAATACACCTGTTTCTGCTTAATCTCCCTGAATTTTTTCATATCCCAAATCAAATTAGCCACACTTAGGCTACTGCTAAGATTTCACGGTTATTTTGAAGATTTGCTGCCAGCACGGGTGAATTAACTGCTGGCTATAAAAGCTTGAATTATTGGTTTAATTCTGGACCATTTGAAATGATAGATATATATATACACACCATTATAGTCTTACGGATGAACGTACCAAAAATGGACGGACAGAGGACGGAAGACGGAATACGGTCAAATATTTCCAAGTTAACAATCATCATCATCAGCATTCCTCTTCGTCCCGTGTGGGACATAAGGCCACAAAGCTAGTTAACAAGTTAACAATGACGGGCATCTAATTTTTTCTGTCGGAAGACGGTTAAAAATGTAGGACGGATCAACAAAGATATAATTTGGAAGACTGTCAGAAAATATCTCTGGATCCGCCCCTGCTATTACACGCATAGCAGAATTAAACACCTTTTTCTCTGCTCAATCTTGTTTGAAGGGGAAAGATATCAGCATTGCAACATATGGTTACTTCAGAAGGGGTCCTTCTCAGCCGTCTTTCACGGTACAAATGCATTGAATGCCTGTTTGCATGTAAACAGAAAATAAAAGCATCAACAATAAGTGTAGTAATAAATGATGTATTTATTTTTGCTCTGTACATATTATACGTATATACAGCAGCAACGAGAAACCAATGTTAATATTTACACAATCTTCAGCTTTTTAAAAATATAACATATCAAAAAATGTAACACAACCAACTGCATACAGTACATGAAACTAATATAGTACTTAAGGAATACAGTAGGCCTATATATGTTTAATATAACACACATACAATATACTCAAAGATTATTAACATACAATAAAGAACAGAATGAAATATACATTATACATATCTAATATCACATAAATAGTTATTGGCTTTCTATTTTAGTGTCTTTCTAGAACGCTCGAGTATTTTGTTATTCCAGGCAGGCCTGGACGTGAAAATATTTGATTATTTTTGTCAAATTTTAATTGATTTCATCTGATTATTGGAAGGCCACAACAGTAGATCTACTGATCTTGAAGCGGCACGCTTTTATTCAGCTCTATATTGTAGCAGAGGTCGGGATTTTGATTTTCTTTTTAAATAATTTGATTGACCTCATAGAATTGCGGGAAGGCCGTAGCGTCCTTATTCAGACCACTGTCCATTCATCTGAATTCGAACTATTTTGCCTTAACTAATAAAAGGCTTTCATCTGTGAATCATTTGGCATTACATTGTTAAACAAGCTTTTCTGACCTTGTGGGAAACCCTCGTTCCTAATGCTACCGGCTATTTTCACAATGCGTCTTCTACGGGTGTTCTATTGAATAGCATACAGTGTGTACTCAGCCGAAGCTCTCACAAAGACGTATTTTCAGTATTTTTCTTAATTATTCCACACTGCCCCTTTCACGCGACTGACCAACGGATGAACTCGTCACAAAATCAGGGGAATTTTCTGTTTCTCCGTCACTTGTGACGTCAATGTCTTGCTCCGACAGACAAGGAGAGTCTGGACAAATGTCTAAGTCATTCTTGTTTTCTGTTTTGTTGTTGTCAGACGCAGCTTTATCTGAGACACTAGTATCCTCTTTCTGGGATCCGCGGTTCTTGTTCGTAGTTTCTGCATTGCGTTTTGCGGCTTCCTGTTCTCTTTTTTGCTTTCGCCATTTCGCCCGTCTGTTCTTAAACCAAACCTGCAAAGATAATAGTACAGATTTATTGGAAGCATGCTAAATTTAATGTTAGGTTGCTACTTTACATGTCCTACAACGGCAACCATTTAACTAAATAATTGTCGAGTACAGTAGTCCATCTTTTCAGAACGCCATGTTTGTTACAAAATCCTTTAAAACTAATAATTGTTTTAACTTATGTAAATAATATTATGAACTTTTTCAGAATTCTATGAACTTTTTCAGAATTTAATTCACAGTAGTTAGTTTTAATTTCGAGTCGTTGAAATAGGTTGCGATTAGATTTTTTGGCGAATTTTATATCAATATCAAAAGCTACTCCTTTAAAAATTCGACATTGGTGGTTTGGATGTCCGTAAGAAAGCCGTTGCTGTTGGTGCTATCAAATCTGTCATTAAAGGCTTATCCCTTTAAAATGGACAATAACTCATCTGATTTAAGTCTTCATTAACACGGCACGGGTTAATCGTTCGTATAAAATGGACAAAAGCCGCTGAACAACTTGGGGGCAATTGTCAGAATAAAATCCCATAAACTATTAATTAATGGAGAAAGATATCCCTCTATCGTTGCTTTATCCCAGCAGCCTAACGAAATTAGGCAGATAAATAGTAATCCCAATTTTCAAGCTCAGTGGTTCTTAACAACCCGGTCTATATTTACCAATAGCCTGGGTCTATAAACCTGGAAAAGGNTTTTCAAGCTCAGTGGTTCTTAACAACCCGGTCTATATTTACCAATAGCCTGGGACTATAAACCTGGAAAAGGACGAACGGCTTAATCTTAAGTGTAAGTAAAACAATGATTTGAACAGAGAGAAACACTTCTAGTTTGTGTATTATTAGACAAAACCTGCCTCGAGGAGAAAAACGGACCGCACAGATAAGATAAGATAAGAAAAAAAAAAAAAAAAAACAGCAGATTTAAGGAGAAAGAGACAACTTCGTGGCCGCGGCTGTTAACAGTGTTATTAATTGGCGCAATAGAGCACGTATCTATTGTTGACGGCATGATTAAAAAATCTGCCGGCGATTGCTTTAGCAGACAGTCGCTAGCATCTCTTGGATATCCGATTCGTGTTTTATTGGGCTTACTTGGGCGAGCATAAATTGGATGAATATTTTGTAACAAAAGGAAGCTACTCACAAAGAGTGAACATCTCTTATTTCAACCGTCTGTGATCACAGAGCCTCTTCATCTATAAATTAACTTTTCGAATTTGTTGCGATTTATTTTAGTTTTTATCCCAGTTCTTTTCAGTCTTATCTCTTCGCTCCAGTACAGAAAGCCCTTTTTATGGCAAAATTAAATATCACAAGCAAATCGGTTGGAATAAAACTCTTGGCTATATTATGTTTCTTTCCTGTTTAGACGCCAAAAGTCTTAAAAGTTCTGTAAATAATGGGGAAAAATTCGATAATCCTACACGTTGCAAATTTAGGTTTATTATTTAGACGATAATAAAAATCAAAATATTTATGCATATTTTTGTTCACCATCCTGTATGTGATTTAACCAAGTTTGTTTATTCAGTCATTACGTGTATTCAGACCGCTCGTTTCTTCCCTCAGGAGTGGGAATTAATATGCCCAAAGATTAAGTGTGTTTTCTTAGATCCCTTTCGCTAAAAACGACCTATTTTAACTGCTAAAAGCCCTCGCCATTCTGGATGTAATGAACACCCGCGACACTTTCTTTACATCATCATAACCCGTCAGTAATAATAGCAAACGGCTTTGTCGATTATTGAACTTAATTCCATAATATGAACGAATTAGATGTTTATTGCTGCCCGCCTTTGTGATCGAACCTGAACTTCAGCGCGAGAAATTAACACAGTTTTGTGGGGAGGATTCTTTAAAATTTTACCTCGCTGAAATCAAAATCTTATATCCAGTGCACATTAAAAAATCGGCTTTCTGAGCCTTCATTTGCTTTACTGCTAAAAGCATCAATTTAGCCCTGTTTTCTTGACACTGTCAACTTTAATTTTTCACCCAGCCGCTGTGTCTATTTCTTTTTGGAATTTTCTACAAAAGAGACCAAATTCGCAAACACATTTAACAGCACTAGTGAAGAGGTACAAAAAAGGGCACTCGTTTCCTTCTGAAGATCCATTTCCTTTCGCAACTGAATATAATGGGGTGGAAATTCGCAAATATTTGACAAAGACAGCAGCTGGAGGAAAATCAAGTGCGATTTAAATGTGGTTGTAACGCGGAGCAGCCGCGACAATGCGGAGAAAATGTTATATACGATTTAAATCATTCAATGGGCAGCTTAGATAAACGTGGGAATCGGAAGTTGTCGGGAAATTCTAATTTGCCCGCCTGTCCTGAAGGTGCGTAGAGACAGTGTCAACACAAGGGATTGTCATTTAACCCGGCCATCCCTACCGGCTCCGACTTTACCGAAAAACCTTTTATACTAATTTTATTATCGCTTAAAAAGACGCTTACAGCGTCAGCACATTGGGGCTAGTTTATTAAATTTTCTACAATAATAACAAATACGGGGAATCGATATTCTTCAATGGGTGTTATTTATTTACGAAGTATAATGTGTGTGTTTAAAGAATGGAAAGCCAAGTTCACTGGTTCCATTGCTTATTGAATTGGGCCTAAGTACTTTGTCCGATTTTGAGAACATTCGAATTAATGACAAAGAATGGTGACATCGGATTAATAGCTCAAGTTCTATTAAGTGGTAGGATAATTGCCTGGATCAAAAAATAAATTGGGGTCCTACCATCCGCTTTTCAAACACACCAGCTAGGTAGATGTACTGTTGGTATTCAAAAAGCTACCACAGAAAGGTTCATTTTTTTTCTTCTGTAAGTCTCCCTCTCAAACTTCCCCTTTTTTTAATTGAATGAATAGGGAACGCGTTTTTTGGCGAAGAATACTCCACAAAACACAGATTGTGCTTTGGATACTTTTGGATACTTTTCCAATTAATTCTCAATGTCCACTTCACCTAGCTTATTCATATATGTAAAACAATTAATCCAATTTCCCCTTTCCAGATCAATTCTTAAATTGATATCAACGATTCAATGCCATCTCCAGCCGTCACAAACCTCCGTTACAAACTCGAATTTCGATACTTTATTTATGTTTTATCAAGATATTGATTAGATATTGTAAACAAAGAACATTAAAATCACACAGAAAAAAAGATACAAAAAAATACAAAAAGACACTAGTGATTCAAATGCAACATTATTTATAGGAGTCTTCTTTGTTATCCCCCATGCAATATACTAACCTCGACTCTCTCTTCTTTTAGATCCACCTTCATAGCCAGCTCCTCGCGTAGTAATACATCAGGGTAATGCGTCTTCTGGAACGTCTTCTCCAACTCTTCCAATTGTTCTTCGGTGAAAATAGTGCGATGTCGACGTTTTCTCTTTTGTCCAGCTCGTGCTAGATCAGCAGGGAAAAATCCAGGAAAGGTTGAATAACCTACAAAAAAAAAAAAGTAGAAAAACACATCATTTTTGTGAAAATTAGAAAATTTTACTTTAAGGTCAACTACGATGGAAATTTGAATTACCAGTTTGTACTCGTCTTTCATATTTTTCAGTTTCGCTCCTAGATGTATCAGTCTAAGGAAATATACAATCTATATTTCAGCTACACACATATGTTCATGATACGCAAAAATTGACGAAAACATTTAGGGCAAAAGTGAATGTTCTGAGTAGCGTTATTTTGGTTAAATGCAGACCTTTCTTCAATGTATTTTCCTTTTTGAATTTTAATGATTATTATAATAAAATTCCTTCATATATATTACCTCGATTGAATCACCAAACGAACCTTTTAAATATATATTTAGTAAGTTAGTCAAAAGAAAAATGATACATTTGGTTAAATGATAAACAAATAGAATCAACCAAGGGATACAATATTCTGAGTCATACAAATTACATAAAATTTTGAAAACTTTTTCCTGGTGAATTGTACACATCTTATCATTAAAAAAAGGAAAAAAAAATTCACATCAGTCTCGATCAACTTTTGCTCTTTTTTTTTACGTTTTCATTCACTTAGTTGGATCCCTGGCGTCCCGTGCCGCCAATTTTGCTTCTGGTCGGATGAGCCACTTTGAAGGAGCGCGAGTGATATCGCATGATAATATGCGGTAAAGATATTAACTTTCTTGCCCCAGGGCAACGTTGCCAAAGATTAAAGTATAAACACCCTAAATCTCCCCCGAACAGAGACAGATGTAAAAATCGTTCACTCCCACCGCATAATTATCCCATTTGAGATATTTTCACGAAGAAAATCGAAAATTTTGGTAAATTGTTCGAATTTGTGTTTTGCCTGTGCGTATACGCATCTGCAGGATGTAAGACTAGAGGGCGAAGAAAGAGGTGTCTATTTTCTACCGTATCCTGTGATGCATGAGGATAATAGTGTTATCATTGCTTACCTATCATTCTCCCATCACTGTGGATTAGAGGCCTAATAAGTAAGCCGCTCACTCAGGACGCTTTCATTTAAGTCCCTACCAAATATTGCAACTTAAGAAGGAATTGTTGCTGAGTTGAAACGAGGCAGAAAATCAGGGCATATAGAATACGGTCCCTACTCCGACTTCTTAAAGAATTAAGATATTGGTTGGAGTCATTTAATACCAAGCAAGGTTAAACAGTTTTACGATTCAGAGCATCCAAGTAAATTACAAATTTCAACAAAAATTAACTCGTTTCATTTGGTAAACCGATCCTGGTGATCTTATCGTCAAGTTGTCTAATGTTCAAAGGCGAGTGCTAGGGAGACGTGTGTATACAAGGAGATTTTCGTTCAATTTCAAGTGAGCTAATTTAGGGGTCGGGGTAGTTTACAAGTGCAGCCGTAAAACCGGCAGAAGGTTAGAGGCACACTTAGGCGGAGCTATAAAATTGGTTTAACCTTCTAAAAGATCAAAAGTAACAGAGAAACATCTCTATTACTTCAAGCAGGAAAACCTAATGTGATCCTGTGATGCCTGGAATTTTTTCCCATTGATTTACTTCACCAAAGTATTTCTAATGAGATCTTTTGTAAGCTTGCATGATTTTCTTTTAAGATAAAAAGAAATTAAATGCGTATTTTCTTACTTTCAGCTCGAAGGAAAAGTAGCGATCGTTTAATAGGCGATTTGTTCACGAATAAGTAGTTGTGTGTTGTTAAACAAGTATTAAAACTTAAAATATTTACTTATTTGGTTTTCGTATAGGCAATTTATAGAAGAAAAATAATCTGTAAACAAACGGCGTTAAAATGAACTTGCAACAATTCTAAAACACGACTTTACTCTAGATGAAAAAGCGACAAATTAGTATTACCAGAAACCTTGACATAGAGGAGTATTTGTTGTCTACAATTAAGGCACTTCGATACCTTTTGTTGACATTTCTAAATATTCATATTCTCCTCGACAACCTTCCCTGAAAATATTTTTCCTAGAAGTGTCAAGTATAAATTTGAAATGTGAAGATAAGTATCAAATCCGGTTTTTTTTTCATGTTTAGAAGAAAATAAACGTTTGCATCTAGCCGGCACAATAAAGACGCATCCAAGCAAACGTGAAATGTTATTTCAAACAGAATTATAATAAAGCAATTTCAAATAAAACGAATAATACCATATAATACGCCTCTTACCTTTAGATAACGCGTACACGAGAGACAAAAAAAATTCAAATAGACAATTTTAACTACAAATTAACAATACTCCTCTATAACATAAGTGCGCATAGGCATATTTCTATAGAAAGTTAAGAAAAGCAACGTTTCCAAATATTAAAAATATAAAGTCCCTTTTACTCTTTTCCTTTTCTTGTTCCACAAATAATACCACCAAGTCTGCTTTTCAACAGTGTAACAATACGCGCCGTTAGAATAATGGTTTTGTTTCTTTAGTTAGAATCATGCAGCAGATAAAGACGAGTTGTTCAATATCAAGAAGTATAAATCGACACTTACGAAGCTGTAAATTGCAAACAGTAACAGGTGACACGTTGAGATAAGTAAATGAAAATAATCGAAATAACAAGGATAGGAATAAATACAAACCTAACACCTTTGTAGAAGTATGAAAAGCATGAGCTGATTTATTGAAAATACAGTCTATTAAAACAATATTATGATCGTCACGCTTTCTGGTGTATGGCTTCATTATATAGAAGTATAGATACATTAAAGCTAATTCACTTAGTGAAATATGATAATCTGTTAAAATATCAACAAAGAGAGAGAGAGAGAGAGAGGGAGAATGGAATGCCAAAATATAAGATTTAAACAAAAAAGAGATGTCCATAACACGTTCTTTCGCATTTCATACAGCACTTCTGTGAAATAAACTGAATGGACTTGCAGCGGTGATAAAAATATGCGCTTGGACGTATGTATTTTTTATGAATATTTTTAAAGAGCATCGTAGATAACTTGTGTCTTACCTAGGAACTCTGCTGCGGCCGCCTGGTGTGAAGGATGCAGCGCATGGTAGGGGAAATAACCGGGCGGAGGGCGCTGGTGAGCTAGCAGGGGTCGAGGTGCCAGAATACTGTCGATGGTGAACAGCGACGGACTGTGGACTGAGGACAGCATGCTGGATGACACCGCAGCCTTCAGATGCTCGCTGTAGTAGTAAGGTAACGCGGGGTGGGCCATCCTGTATTGACTCCTATCTTGACACACAAATGCAGAAACTGATACAATTTTTTCTTTGCGTATTTCACAAACGCTTGTCTTGCATTAAGTTTTAGTTGACCGAGTCCTGTTGACGATCTCGCTATGAGGGATCCTGCCCCTCTCCCGTAAATGCCTTTTCGAATCAAAGGTTTCTTTGGCTTTAGGAATTTTCAACAACGGATGGTCAGCAGAGATGCGTGGCCGTCGCAGATAACGTCGCACATACGCCGATCTTCGCTGTCGTCCCCGCTCACGTCGACAGGCCGAGTGACAACTCCAGGTGTGTCAGTGCCAACGTAATCAGGTTATTATGTAGCGACAGCAGTTCGGTTGCCTCAGCCACACTTCTGTGTGGCTTACGTATTGTCTCTTCTTCTTAAACGGCAATTGCCTCTCTGTTGCCCACTAAGTTGGTCACAATCCGAAAACAATGCCCCCACCAACTTTAACACAGAGCCACGCTGCTTCAACAAGCGCTGGTAAGTTTATTTAATTGCGTTTAATAAAATCAAGCTCAACCCCTGCCATTAGCCTTGTAAAGTAATCCTTGTTTACTTGAGACAATCATGAATATAAGTTCGGTTAAATCTGCTTACGGTAAGAATGAATGGACGAGTCCTCTGATTGACTCACTGTATATAACAAGTGCCCGCCCACCGCATTAAATGTCGAGTGTCGAGTATTAAAGCAGCTCGGTGACGTGAATGCCACAACAAATAGAGGAATAGTAGGATAATAACATTGTATTCACAGCACAGAGAAAGCTAAGTGTCAATATAAGCTCAATGCAATCGAAAGAGCAAAGGCTTGTGTGCGGATTTTTTCAAGCCTTGTGCAAATTTACCGAAAAACATTTTTCAGTCGTGTTTTTAAAGAAGCAAAATTACGGGCTAATCTGCTATCGAATGTCATAGCTACTTTTCAGTGCTGGATTTGTTGAATGGACTGAACAGCTAATAATCGAGCAAACCTAATTCGTTTTTTAAGCCTTTTGTGTGTGATTTCTTTGTAGAAGTATTTGGTTAACAATATCCAGCTTGTAGATAAATGAGATTATGAGCTTACAGGAGCTTCCCAGTGAACCCTGGGGGTCAGGGTGGGCCACATCCGCGGCAATTATTACGACAGGTGCTCTCTGAAAGACTAAGATATATCCTTTTTAGTGGATTCTGAATAAGTTTTTTTCTATTTCAGGCGCTAATAATACGTTGAGTCTTACTCTATGCAATGGAAAAAATGCTTGCATACGCCAAACCAAACTAAAGGGCATGCGCCGTGCTCGGCTGTTGTCAGGCTTGACAGGAATTCATTTTCAATTACCATATCTTATACATTTCCAAAATATAAGCATGCAATTTGATGAAAAACTCTTCTACATTTTTAGCTTAACTTTAGGTAGATAAGATTTTTGGCTGTAGCATATGAGCCCAAAAGGGTCTGCCCCAAAAGATTCTGCCGTGACATACACGCTCGCTCAGCTGCGTGCAAGCACTAGGCAATTAATTTTTTTTTTTTACCTTAAAATGTCGTTTTTATTTTTCAGCCAAAAAGTAACAGCAAAAATGACATCATTTAACCAAAGAGTTATTAAGCAACACATTGTTCAACTAGAGAATTGCATTTGAGACTTGAAAATTACTGCCAGAAGCGTAACATTGCTTGCAATAAGGGTTTTATTATTCAGTTTGTTCAAAAGACTAAAAAAATGTGTCGATCGCATACATCTTTTCAAATTTAAGAAATTTAAGGACACAATTTAAGGTGCGTTTTGAAATAAAGAAAATGCACTTGTACTTACATGCAATAGAATCATAATTCGTTCTTTTCTTTTTTTAGCCTCTAGACAGTTTTGCATTTAACATTTTACAAATATACATGTAGTTAGCTTTCATAAAGATGTAACAGTGTAGCATCTGTGTACAAAATATTACGATATGAAAATATAATTTGTCGAAAGGACAGACAGACAGCTACAGGATAACAAATGGTTACGGGTTTTAAAATGTACATCGAGCCACGGAGCCTTTTTATATCGACTTTTACACACGGCTGCAAAACAGGGGTTCTAAATAAGCAGCACGTTCACAGTGGCAAAGCAGAGTCCTCCCAGTTTATGTCAGAAGGTAAACCGCATTATTGCCCACATAGATTTAATCTGCTTTGCCCTCTTTAAGCCACCACCTTATTTGTCCATTAAGTTTAGCTCGCTTTCAATTCAGTCACAAAAGTGAGATCTGAGATACTGTGCGATCAATAAGAGAGCGTATTTAAACTGCTCGACATCTGACCCGGCCCATTGTGAATGCTCGCTACTAAGTTGTTTAAACTTCATTTGAAGAGCCATTTAGGACTGATTACTATAAAACTCACCCAATAGATCCCTGCGCCCAATCAAAACGACAGAACAACGATATGTGAAGTATAAAACGAAACGCAAACAAGTTCGCTAAGAACAGATTAGAATTTTGACTGTTTTCGCTCACCGTGAGTTCGATTAAATATCTCCCACACCCCGTCTGCCCATCTACAGAAAGAGCAAATTTTGAGTCAAATGCAATCGAGACGATCCGGAACATTTCGGACCAAGGTCACCAGTGCACCGGCCTGGCACTAATTAGTTATTTAACGTTGTTCCCAAACTGGCTGTTCACACTTTCACTCTGAGTTCAAAAGGATTAAATGTGTGACACGAAGTTCTTATCTGATCACCTTTCTCTACCTGTCATAATACTGGGCAAACAGCAGTCATACCTGCGGCTAAATCAATTAGAGAACAACGCCGTGTTTGGGCAAGGATTTACCCAGCTTTTCGTCTTAATGGAGAGGTTCGGACGAAGTGGACACGAATCGAGGGGCATTAGATATAATCCTTCGCAAATTGCTTGTTTTTTAATATGAACCGTGCGGAAAATCGAGTTCACGTGCTTGAATGTGTTTTGAATAGGTTTACCGTTTTTTTCGCACATTTACGCTGTCCAATTTAGTTTGAAGATTGGTAACACCTTTTGGAAATGAAATGTTCACATGACCATTTCTCGCGAAAACTAAACACGTTCTTAGGCCTGCATATTTTTTGGCTCCCAAACTATTCGACCTTCTGTATGTTTGCCGACCTTGTAACTCTGACACAAATATAAGCATAATAAATCATATGAGACTGAAAATCTTTTGAAACTGATGCATTTAAGACCAACCGCCTGTCCATGTTTAGAACTGTGCAATTTAGCATGAACGACCATTATCTTCTAATATTTGTGATTCCCAGAACATTAACAAAGTACCTCTTTCCAAGCTCAAAGCACAGTTTCAACATTCACACATCGAAAAATCTGCTTTTGAAATAAACATGAGAAAGTTCATAGAATTTGCCACCGACGATCGGTAAAGCGACCTTATAAAAGGATTACAAAATAATTGCTTAATAATCGGGCTTTCTTGCAACGTCCGGACTCATTGATTTACCACAGAAGTGCATTTCTGCCATGTAAACTTAACGCATGACACGAAAGGGTTATGAAACAGCCGATAAGATGGCTTGATCCACATTTTAAACGGGCATCGCATTGATCAAGGCTTCGACACTTAAGATTGCAATGTTCTTTGGTGCATGTCACTTAAATGGAGGTAGCTAGTTCGGTGCGCTCTGTACGGGAAATAAAAGTTTTTAATTTGATCTCAGAAACATTTGATAAAGTTAATCTTGGATGAATAATACACATCCAAGAATTGATTTACAGAACGGACCTACGTTTGCTATTTTTTCAATTATGACCGCTGCATTATCCCAAACTGTTCTAATATGAATGTGCTTGTGTATTAATTCTTCATGCAAGTATCTATGTCTATCTATATGTCTGTCTTTCTGTCTGTCTGTCTGTCTGTCGACCCGTCCTTTTGCCATTCTGTTGGTCCGCCTGTTTTTTTGATTGTATTTTTGTATTTTTTTTTTCACAAATCTGCCAACACTGAGACGGGGGTAGCCTGTTTATCCACAGTCATTACTTTTCGATTATTACGAACTGATGTAATAAATAACTTGGTTTACCATTGAGGTTCATTGTGAACAAGCTACATGGCACCCTCAATCAATGGAATTCAAGATTCCACGTCCACTCGTTAGCCTTAAGTTGTCATTTTGGATAGTTATATCAATTTATTGCTTTGTTTCGTTTGTAATTTCGATTCTCTGTTTTTCTTCATCAAGTATGGAAGCGGTTTCACCGAATAACTGGTCACAAATTCATAGTTGATTTCTTAAATGTGTTGACAACAAGTGATATTACATCAAGGCATCAGGTTAGTCCATTCATTTTCTCTTTCTTTTCTTTTAATCAGTAAACCGATATTTTTTGTCTTCATATGATGGATTTTTTAGAAGACAGATTTAAACTGTGCATTCGTATGGAAAGAGTTAAATTACATCGGCTACTACGAATTTCGCTGCACTGATAGTTGTGAGCTGTCAATTTAAAAGAAGAAAAAGAGTACAATTTATGAATGGCTGATACACTTTTACCAACACGTTGAGTGCACGCACGCACACACACACACATGCACACACACACACACACACACACCAAAATTTTTTGAATGTATAAATGGATATATATATATATTTAATCATCCTTTCTCCAGTTTTCAATTTCGTAGGGTCATATCTAAACTATGGTATTTTGCGCGTTCTGTCTCAAAAGCAATGTTTACATTTACATTTTAAATTTTCAAACTCTTTATATCCGTTTTAGTGAAATTTGATATGTCTTTCCCGCCATCTTTCTATCTCGATCTAAAAATTTCAAAATCGCTCTCGGCTTAACAGCATGATTGCTTTTCACAATGTGCGAAAGGTAATGTGAAGAAGCAGATGAAAATTCGAGCAAACTTCCTTTCTGTTTAGAAGTTATATATTATTTATATATAAAAAACTTAAACAGTTAAATCAAGGTTTTCCAAACGATCCTTAAGTCTACATCAATCAATGTAATCTGTTCAGCATTGTTCTTATCCACAATACATGCGAACTAAATTAAAATGATTCTGAAAGAATACAAACATTTGCAGATTCCTGCCTCGGCGGCAAAATAGCAACTCGGAGAGAAGGTCATAAAAATTTCATCAAAAATACAGTCAAATCCATTGACCAGTCGGTGGAGTCAAGTTGTGTCTTTAAAGAGGATAAATATGTTTATCAGTTTCCACAAACAAAAAGCCCTACAAACTCATCATCGAAAGGAGAGGGGATTCGGTAGCTGCAAGCTATCGTTGATAAAGCTGTAGTGTCGCACATGCTAACAATGGTCAAAGTCAATTTGCCTCGTGGGAATACAGAGAATGCATTTTCTTTTGCACACTGCATTTCACAGCAAATCAAATATCAACAAAAGACACAATTGTGGTGCCACATCAACGGTAAAGGAAATCAACCTTTGCCTCACATATTCTAATGTTTTGTTAACTTTCCTTTCCGTGATTAGCTTCCCATTTAATCTGTAAGTCGAGACAGTGATTATCCATGTTATCTACGGCATAGTGGTTTTTGCCACGTTCATTGCCCCATACAGTATCAGTCGTCTCTCTTGGCCTTCATCATTCACTTTTTGTACAGTTCTTGGTAGCTTTTAGCATTTCGTAATAATAATTCATTCTTAAAATCAAATATCTATCGCTGAAATATTTCAAATGCTAGCTTGGGCTTTTTAACAGTACCTTAGCTAAAAAAAAGAAAAACAATTTAGCGCCGATAGTATTGTACTAATATCCAAATATACGGTCACCTTTCAAGTATACACCAACTTGTGTCTTGGTATCTACCTAAATGTTTCACGTTACTTATAACACGATGATGTATATAGTATTTTTAGCAAACATTTAAGTTTCGTGCTTGCAGAAGATAAGAAATTATATCTGATAATGTCAAGAGTGTCAAGAGATGACAGATTAAAGCTTTGTCAGACTTCTAAAAAGGAACTCTTCAATAGTCGTTTCCGTAAGTATATGATGCAAAAAAATCCCATAGTAGTTACTTTCTACCATGAAATTCGATAACAAATCTCAGTAATAACACTGAATTTTGATACCACGCCCAATCTCTTTCGAAAATTGATATGTATATATGGTACTGCATTTATAAAAACATGTTTCACCTTATTGTTATTGTTTGTCAACAATATGAATGAAATGAAACAGCAGCCGCGGCCATAATGTACGCGGACAACAGGTGTGTAGTATCAGTACCATTAAAACTCCTTTCATGGGAAAACGAAAACAAATAACACTCGCAAGTCAGAAACAACAAAAAATAGGGCCATGACATATCGACTGCACTTATATACAAATCCAGAGAATAATTATCAGATCAAAACTCCATGAAACGATTACGTAGTGCTTACACATTCATAGTGGGATTGTGCAATTATGTTAATGTCACGCACATTCGAGCCTGCTCCAATATTTGTGCTGGTTTTAGTGCTGTGTGCTTTACCACTCCAGCGCCGTAATTGCTAAACAATGACAAGTGGTAATCACTCCATGGCTTGGCACCATTTGCTACAGATAACATCAGGTTAAGATTACAGTTAATTTGGCACGTTCGCACCCACCGTCTATGAGTTCTCCACCATCTTATTACAGAATGCTACTTCATAACCAGGTGCCCATTGTCCAATACGTTGGTATCTATATCTAAATGTAAAATATTCATGGCAATAGATGTAAAGTTTATTTTCAAATGAGAGGAAGTGATGGTAAAGTTCGGTGGTGTGACAGATTCCAGTGTCAGACGGCAGTTGCTATGGTGACAGATAGGCTCAAGTCACCAAACCGCTGCTTTATCTGTATGAGAATAGGATTACTGGATGTCATGGCTCCCTAATTACAACTTTCTAGTTGTTATACCTGTCGTTTTACTTTACAGAGGCTGAGATAATCTGTTAAAAGGCATGGGAAAACAAACATTACGTACTGCAGTTAAAGTAAATGATATATATTGCATTCCAGAGTTTTTATCGAGTGGATTTGAGACTGTTATATATTCACATATTAATGGTTTTGTCTCTGGAATTAAAGACAGAAACCATAAACCGGATGTAACGTGCAATATATTGATATGAATCGAGGCGTTTTGACTTAGATTGAAGGGATGGAACAAAATGCAACAAAGGAGACAATGCTAATTAAGTAATTGGTGTATTGCACATATAGCGCATCGGAAGTGCAATCTTCGATATATTTTTATGTCTAAAAAGTTTTACCAGCCCATTTTAATGGGTTTAGTAATTGATTTTTTTCTTAATACAAATAAAGGACATTCAAGAGAAATGTTATCGCAGTGAATGCAATACCGTGGAAAGGTGCATTCTTTTGGTCGTTTTGAAAGGAACCCCATTTAGTATGGTAGATGCATCTTCTTTATATTAGCGTTTTTGATTTGTCGGGTTAACATTTTAGCGAGCTTGAACGAACGAGTTTAAAGAAATTTATTTGTAAAAAGGCAGACAGAGAAATAACACCATGGGCAACTATGATAACATTTCCTAAAATAACAAGAAGTGTTTTAACGAATTTGAATGATTTTATGTTGTTTCACCATTTATTTACCACTAAATCACATTGAAAATGTTTTGAATTCTGTGAAAATTCGACAGGATATCCAAATGAAGGATATCTAAATTTAGCCCAAAGAATCAACTCGGAAAGTAAACATAAACAGAGAAATTTGCCCATAATGTCCCCATTACTACCATTAATATAGCAAAGAGATCTTATGTTCAGCGGTTTGTCTAAATTCAAGTCGAAGAATGAGAATAGTGTAGGAAACGTAGATTAATTTCCTACAGACTGTTTACAGAGAATAAGATTGAATTAAAACCATTGTAAAAATTGTTCTGAAAAATCTATATCCCCTCCGCGGTAAACTTTCCCCTGAGCGTGTATTTGTTTTCAGGCACACACAAGTAAAGATTTAATGAAGCTTCACTAAAGACGCGTATTCACCCTTTTAATTCGCATTGGCGATGTGTAGATTTCAATTAGACAATATTTATCACCGCACAGTAACAAAAGGCACTGTCCAAAGTCGATAAAGCGGAGACAGTTAGCTGAGAGTGATGGCCCTGCCCCATCACTTCTTTAAACCCACAGTCTATAAATACTGTATATTTTATGGGCCATTTTTGTCTGTAAAAAAGAGACTGGTAAAAAATAGCTCCCCGGGTTAAGAATGCTAAAATGTTAGGTTATAGGTGTCTTAGGAAAGCACAGAAAGCTTCCAATAGATTGAATGGTATCTTCACATTATTCTACCGTTTTCGGAACAATGGTCCTATGATACAACAATATACTGTTATTCTTAAATAAATTTTTTATTTGATTTTACAAGCTTTAAAATAGCTGTTTTCAAAACAGCCACAGCATCTTGAGTAGACAATCGACCAAGGATGATGAGATGGGTTGTTACCGGCACGTTTGTAAAATTGTGAAAAGAAAAGGATTTAAAAAGAACCAAATTATATATTTCTCAGTAATTATCATTTATCCAATATGTTGAACCCAACTCTTTCTTTTCACAAGAAGGGGCATTTGTCCTACTGAATAAACAAACTGTACTCTCAAGTCGATAGATCTGTGGCCAAATCGTCTGTGCTAACACCGGCCCCTTTTGACTTCACATTGTTACAAGAGCAGTGCTGCAGGACGTCCGTCAACCTGACGCAACGGCGGTCAAATGCTTTTTCGCAGGAGAACCAACAGAGATGAGAACGGTACCGCTTCCTGGCGCACGCCAAAACAATAAAGGTCAGCTGCTGTCGAGGTGATAGGTCGATAAACACTGCCCAAGGGACACAAATGTGCACATGGCCTGTTGGGCAACTCTTGGACGAAGAAAACGTTGTATTTGCCCAAGGGCAACTAGGGGTGAGATTTGGCTTTCTTGGTTCAGTGTTCACCCGTAGGATTTGTGTAAGGCTATAGGTTTACTTTTACAAGAATGATAATAAAGAGAATCTCGAGTCAATTTCGCTTATACATTGTAGTTCAAAAATACGGGAAAACATGTACAGTAAAACGGGTAAATAGATGTATGAGGATTTTCTGAGGTTGCTAGCAATTCGAAAATTTTACCGCGATCACCCTTAAAAAAGTCGGAAAATATGGCGTCCAGGGGGCAGCCTAGGCCAATGATATTTTTGGCTCCCAAAAAGTCGGAAATCTGCCGATAGTTTGAAAAATCTCACGTTATATACAATAACATCATAAATACCTTAGTATTATAATTCTCAAAATATCTTAAGGATGTTATTCCCTGGTTTGCGTGGAACTAACGTAAATGATCACACGCATTTCTCATGTTTTCAATTCTAATTTTAGGGAATGGCTATTTTTTTCTTCCCTTAAAAATGTGTTATATACTATACTTAAGGGACAAATTAAAGATACGAGCTAAATGAAAAGAAAACGGGTACACTCAAAACGACATAAATCCGCTTTTTTCATGTATTTTTGGCTAGGAAAATACTTTCCTTCACCTATTCACCTTCTCCACCTCAAACATTGACGATTTGTAAAGTTTCCTTAAATCATTTTCTTTTTTTCATTGATCGAGAAGAACAGAACAGAGAACAAAACAATCACAATTTTTGTCAACAGCTATTACTTTAATTATTCAAATCATGTTATTATAATGAAAGTATAACACAAGTAAGCCAGGTAAAAAATTATACAAACACGTTTTATAATGCATTTTATCCGTCTAACTGGTAATATCAGTGGCGCACTTTCTACAGATTTCACAACCATTTCAAACGCACATTGGACATATTTCTTGTAAGTATGAATGAATTTAATGTGAAAATGGTCCACAGAAAATATCTCGGTTCTAAGTTTAAGAAAAACCCAATTAATCCAGTAGACAGAATTCGCTAGGAGTCAACGCATTTAATAAAAAAAAAACGAATTTATTCATAAACAAAACACACAGAGCGTATGACATGGCTTAGAATGGCCAATCCTTAGTTTGACATTTTTGGTACAAATAATTTTTTACTTTTGTGGACCCATTTTTGACACAGGAAAACAAGTGCAAGAATTTTATCCCACGAACGTCTGCCATCGAAACTGAACATCAACTAGCATGACATCTCTATTATAAAACTGTGTACAGATAAATTCCCTCTAAATCGCTCTCCTCACTGTCCTTGGCTCCAAATAATTGCAAATTAGCACGTCTTACTATATTTTCCAATGGTAGTGGCCGCAGCCACGATGACAATTCTATGTTGACCTAAAATTAAAAATACAATGAGAAATGGTTAGAAAACAGAAATTCATTTTTAAAAATATATGAAATTTTAACTTTGAGTGCTTAAATTTTCGATCACAAGTGTTCGAAGAACACCCAAAGAAGGACTGTTACTCCATATCATCTGTAAGATGACGAAAAAAAAAAAAAAAAAAAAAACGTAAAAAGGTTCATATCAAAATGAACGCTTTGATTCATCCAGTTGATTTTTTTTAGCGTTACATTGGTGACAACCCTATCTCAAGTCACCTGAAGAAGGCCCTACGATAAGACTGAAACCTCAGTGACCTTCATTTCAAACGTAAGCACCAGGATGAGAATAATAGATGCTGTTCTTATTTTTGGAAAAGGCTAATATTTCGTCCATTTCTCTAACTCCAGAAAAGAATTCTTATGTGCATGGTGTACATACTTTGTTAAAATGTGTTAGTTGTGACGGGAGCCTTCCGCACATATTCAACACATTCACATCACAGTTTCACAAAAAATGGAAGATTGTGTCAAAATCAAAACTGGCACAGTGCAAAATTCTTACGCTTTCACACAAAAAGCCAGGCATGTGTTTGTAAAACCACTGACTTCAAACATTTGAGGAAGTCTCAACACTTGAAGATAATTTACGCAGGCCACTTCAAACGTTGAAAGAAAAATAACATATATTCAAAATGGTCAAGGTGATCATGCACCACACAACATAAAAAAATCATTGACAGTTAATGCTCAGAAATATGGATCTTTTAACAAACTTACCTTAAGGCTCTCAAAGGATTCTTCTAGGCTGGGCACCGTAACAAGAATCACACCCTGTTTCCTCACATTTTCTCGTAATAACAGCCAAAACCTGAGAAAGGAATCCAACATGTTTCACTTGCCAGAATCTACGGAAATAGTTTGCATTGTCGCCCAAATACTTTTTAAAAGTCCATACGTGTTTCTAATATTTCCAAGGGTAATCAAACAACTTTATATTATCAGCAGACGGACTGGTAAACTAGATAAAATGCTAAAAAAAATCTGAGTCCGTGATAATTTTTACCAGTGGTGTGTTGAAGAGACATAATTTCAACATCTTTACAGTATTTCTTCTGTTTCTCAATTATATACTTTAACAGTATTCTCATTTAAGATCCGTTAATGCCTTACTTAGTTTCCACGTCTGGACTTGTGAAGAATTCAAAAACATTATTCAGAACAACAACATCGGCTGCAATAAAAGGATTACCATCATTGTAAATACTAATGGCATCAGTTTAATTAATATAATCAGTATCACTGGCCAGAGCTTTCAAGAGCTTGGAATAATACGTTGAACCACGACATGATAATACATTTTAACTTGAGTAATAAACAGTGAAGACTGTTGTTAATTTAATAATCAATGAACATCATAAGCAATTTTGCTGTCGATTAAAAATGATACGAAAGGATGATAAACTTATATGCAGAATATTAACTGAACTGTCATAATTGATGCATCACCAGTTACAATATATTTGAACAATCAGTTCAGTACAATTTTTCAATGGTTATAGATGCATAATATAACACAGATTTGTTTAAATGATGTATTATTTTCTACCGATTCAAAAACTCACCCTGTTGTAAAAGGTGGGACTGTTGAAGAATATCAGAACACTCTATCTTAACTCGGTCAGTCAGTGAATATTTACTAAGTATCTTTCCACTAAGCTCACAGAAATAATCATTTATTTCAACTCCTTTGATCACTTTTGCTGAACTAAAATAATATGCCTGAAAAAAAAAAAAAAAACGAAACATGATATCAATTTTATTGTGACTAACTTTCACTTCATTTTACATCACTCTACAATAGATCTGCTAAAACAAATGGTGCCATTAAAGCTGATGGCATGAAGGCATATATCTCAAGTTAATTGCAGTTAAAAAGCTGCCAAATGTCTGTCAGGTCTTAAAGGTGAAATATGTGGTAAGTACTTAGCAAAGTACTTGCATTATGGAGCATGATCAATTCATAGAATCAAAATTGATCAGGAATAAACATTTGCAATTATTTGCAATAATAATTGATGACATCACTCCAGACAATAACACCAGAAAATAATACCAAAAAAAAGCACCTTGTACAGAATACAAAAATAATCTGATGTGACATGCATTAATTTTTTTTCAGATAAACACAACTCTCAAAACAGGTCCATGTAGTCTCAGTTACATTATGCTGTAATTGATTTTTGCTCCTCAATTTAATGTGCAGCTAAAATACCGATACCTTTCCTTTTAGACTCCACTGTTAATAATGTCAAGGCTCTTTGTCTGGGTACTTTAAAAGCTCTTTCAAACATGCAATAATAGTAGGTCCTAAATAATTGAGAATAAGCTCTATAAGTTGATAAAGTGTTAAGAATGTTTTTGAGATTTTTGAAGTATTAAACCTACCCATCTTTTTTTAAAAATAAAATAGCCTTAACTGATGCCCCAAAGGCAATTGAAAGGCAAGTTGAATCCTTTTGAGATTTTTGAAGTATTAAACCTACCCATCTATTTTTAAAAAATAAAATAGCCTTAACTCATGCCCCAAAGGCAATTGAAAGGCATGTTGAATCCTTTTGAGATTTTTGAAGTATTAAACCTACCCATCTATTTTTTAAAAATAAAATAGCCTTAACTCGTGCCTCAAAGGCAATTGAAAGGCATGTTGAATCCTTTTGAGATTTTTGAAGTATTAAACCTACCCATCTATTTTTTAAAAATAAAATAGCCTTAACTCATGCTCCAAAGGCAATTGAAAGGCATGTTGAATCCTTTTGAGATTTTTGAAGTATTAAACCTACCCAACTATTTTTTAAAAATAAAATAGCCTTAACTCGTGCCTCAAAGGCAATTGAAAGGCATACTGAATCCTTTCTATGTAATAACATTACTATCCTGGCTCAAAAAGCTGCTCATGCAAGAAATGGATCTAACCTTTAATTTAGTTTACACCACATGAAAAAAAATGTGTCCAAGAAACATTTTGCTGAAGCAGCGGATTATTTTCTGTTATCGCATTTTTAGTTTGTATATTATGATAGTATTAGAATAATTGCAGATGATGATTGGTAAAATATGTTATTTTATATACGATTCCTTTCCATTTTATGATTATTGTTATTATAACTATAATAAAAAGGCAGCAATGCTGTCAAATGTACAGACAAAAAGCAAAAAAGATTCACAAAATAGGTTAGCAAATTTAAATCATGCACAACAGGTAACACAAATATTAAGAATATGTAACTGGCATACGGCTTCAGGCCCCTGAGAGTTTAAATCTATACAATGAAAATTTTCATTTTTATCTCAATATCTTAAAAATGAACAATTCACAAAAAAAAAAAAAAAAAAAAAAAATTCACAACTTCATGTCAGGTATGCATTGTTGTCTATGATTTGTCTTGTCATAAAATAATTAATGTATAAATAATTTAACTAATGAGACAGATGCTTGGTTACCAGCATATAAGAGCATGATGGGTGCTTTTTGCTTACTCTATAAATCCAGATACTGCTCTAAGAGATTTATCAATCTGTGATATAGAATATGATTGATTCACTTTGGAAGAGTGCTCTACCCATGGTGACTGACCATGGGAAGCTGATATAGAAAGAAAAGAAAGTTAACAAAGTTAATCTGTTTTCTCCATGTTTAATATGTACAGCCCTGTATTACAGGTTTAATACAGGGCTGTCTTAAACATGGGGAATTACACATGTTTATTACACCAAAACCCCACAAACAAATTTAAACTGATTACTGTTGCTTGCAAACCCCTAACATTAATTTAGGCTGGGAAGGCACATGTAGCTACCAGACTCAATTACAAAATGTCCTCAAAGCATACAGCTCATTGTGTGCATGACCACCATATAAAAAATCTTAGTAATTTCAGGCACAGAAAGGACTGTTGTGAATACAGCTGAAGTTTACAGATATGTTTCTAATGTCTCTTTTCATTGCAAATTGGTTCACTCCTTTTGGTACAACCCATCTCTACAAGGCATCTGATTAAGATGAACTCATCTTAAGCCCACCAACATAGGCAGCCAGTGTGACCCCACCAACATAGGCACCTAGTGTGACCTGACCACTGGGTGTGGCATGCAATTTACTTTCCATATGGGCATAGACCTACCCTTTACCTTTACCAAGGTCACAGGTTAATTATCTTCTCTTTTCTTTAAAGCTTTCTTCACAGTAAACAAAAGTGTCAAGAATTACCCAGAGACATATCTGTGAATATCTAGGGAAATATCAATCCTTGTCATATGTAGAGGGTAGCATACGCCTGCTGTGAGAACATTTTTATCAGATGGCAAGACCAGAAGAGCAAGGTTCATACCAACAAGTGTGGATACCAGTATCAGGCTTGTAGCTGGGGTGGGGGTGGGGTGGGGTGGGGGGTGGGGGGTAGTGGGGGGGGGGGTCAGGAGGTTCAAACCCCTTTTTTGCTGGGAAAAGGTCCCATCTGTGTAAAATTTTATCTGGGTACATGAAGGTTTCATGGTAAAATGTCTCCTTTTCCAGAAAAAGGAACCCCCCTTTTTAAATTGCTGGCTACGGACCTGCCAGTTAACTGTATCTGTCATGTTAATACAATTGAAGTGTCTTACTCCATAGAGCACAGCTCCCAGCCTAGAACCCACATCAAGCACCATCTTCTCGGCAAGGTCTGGCAACGCGTACTGGAACACAAACTTGACCTGTGTCTTAGACATAGAGTGGCTGACAAAGGCTGAAATATTGGTGAAATGGGGTTATAAGTGGCATTTTGAGACTAGTTCATGAAAACAACTGACTATACTCAATGTCAGGGTGCTAACTTTTGGATTTAATAGATTCCTGGATTCAATGAAAAATATGAATTCAATTATTGAGAAATGGCTTTCTAATTCACCTCTACAAAAATCAAGTACACTAGTAAACTTAAAAGAATGACCATTAGCTTTATTTCATTATGTGAGAAGTAATAAAATTTGTCAATATATATAGAGTTGACAAGTAAAAAAAAGGTGATTCCCCATACTCAGCGGTGCGGTGTCGTGGGACAAGCACTTTTTACAATAGTTTCTGCTCATAGATCCTTCCTCACACAGCTGGTCTATAATATCATCTGTGTACAGAAAGGCATCCACACTAACTGTAGTCTCTGGGTTGCACTCCGTTCTCTGGAATGTGGCAATGCTTTAAGATATAAATTCACAATGATTTTTCACATCCAATTTACAAATAGAGTTTAAACCACAAATGGAAAAGCATTGAAATAATTGATAAAGAAATTGTATTTAATAAAGCTTTTCTGATAGAAGTGCAATAAAGACCCACTAAATGCATCAGGAAATTAGCCTTCATTACAATAATGTACATTCATAAAGAATAAATTAACAACATGCTGCTAAGTAAAACAGAAAGCATACCTAATAAAGGATGAATTAACATACAAATCAAATCTTGGTATTAAGTATTAATGTAGAGTTAATCTTATATTGGGAATAAACTATGGCCTTACAGAAAACCAATAAATAAAACCTGATGCATAATAAAACAGTAATAATCTATTATTGAGATTTGCTTTGATGAGAAAATGGAGGTCATTGACATCTTGTCTTGAAATTCTAGTTAGAATAATGACTAGACAAATTACGGAGGCGGATTTGGGCCATCTTCTGGGTCTTCCAGAAAACGGTCAGATTTTCAAGTTTACATTGACGGGTATCTATTTTTTTTCTGTGGGAAGACGGTCAAAACTGGTGGATGGATTGACAAAGATAATTTGGAAGACTGTCATAAAATATCTCTTGGTCTGCCCCTGAAATTATTGGATAATGATAAGTAAATTGCATGACCCTTCTCTCCACCTCTTACTCTAGCTGGTATGGTCACAGACAGATTAAATTTAGAACGTATTCCCATAGATTTTAGATCGATCTATCCCCGTGGGGAGTCACACTAGATTACTGTTAGATAATCCAGCTTAAATGTCCGTCCCGCCTACTACAAGCTGTAAGTGGGTAATTAACTTTCGTGCCCGCTCGGCTGACAGCTATTTAGCGTGAACCCCCCAGGGAGTTAGGTCGATCTATTTTGGATCGATCTAATACCTGGGAATGGGGTCTTAGACAAAGGGTACAGGCACATACCTACACCATTAAATTTAAAAAATTGCAGGTCTAGTCTTCTCTTTGAAAGGGGAGAAAACTGTTCCATCCTTGGTCCGCAAAATCAAATTAAAACACAAAATTCACAACTATTCAAATACTGGGTATTTCTAATATCCTGAATGAACAACGTAAAGGCACCAAACAGCCAGGTAACATTAATTTAAAATTTACTACTTTCTCTTATTGTTTGTTCAAACCTATTTGTGATGGTAACTCCCCTTATTGTCAGTAGGAAAAACAATGTTTTCCTTGGGTGCCAATCCCATCAATGGAACTTCTTCACGCAAATCATCACATATACTGTTGAGAAAAACATCGGCTTCTGACAGTCTGTCCATGCTTTCAACTGGAAATGAATGGTTACCAAGTTACTCTATTCATGCACTGTAGTTAAGTGAGAAGGAAAAAAGAAAGGACTGAGGGAAAGAAGAAAGGTAAAAAGGATTTCCACTATACATGTACCTTTAAACATGTTACTAGTTTATGTATGATAACATCCCTTCACTTTTATTCTCCACACCATAACTCTACTGCATTGTTACCCCCCCCCCCACACACACACACACTGGTAATGATGGAGTAATGATATAGGGAAAGTAAAGATGGGAACTGATGATTTATATGGGGAATGATACATATGGGGTTGTAAAGAAATGATCCCTTATGCAAAACATTCTGAAATGTGACATGGCCCTGATTTCTGCATGTAACTAAATAATAATTAAAATACTTTAATTATATTTTATTATAAGGACTATTAGGACTGGCAAAAGTCCAACTAAAAATTAATTTTCTATATTTAAAAATACATGTATACAAACTGTACATTGTACTTGTACCAGTATACTGGTACAAGTACCAAGCACTCTTTCTATATATATGCACCTGTGAAATGCATTCCCATAATTCCAATTAATTTGAAATATAAAACCCTGTTTAAAGTTATCTATAAGATACACGGGTTAATTACGTGCTCGGACAAGTACATACAAATTGCTGGCTATACAAGATAGTGGAATAATGTAACATATTTAGAAATTGACTGATGACGCACTGCATTAGACTAATCATTAGTCTAATGATTAGAGAGAGAGAGAGAGAGAGAGAGAGAGAGAGAGAGAGAGAGAGAGAGAGGCACGTCACCTTGAGTTTGGCAATATACATTTGCAACCCATTCTATAAATTTTGGTAGCACCAAAGGGTCAGTTCTACTGAGGAGATCTTTAAATTCATCTTGCGCTGTGGGGAAATCCATTTCTCGTGTCTTCTTTCAAAACGAGGTCGAGAATTCCCAAGACAAGCCCAACTGTGAACAATGTACGAGCATACTGTCCAAGATTAGATTTATAAATAGTTAATTAATAAATATTCAGGGGCGGATCCTATCCAGGATTATTTGAAGGGGGGGGGAGTCCGTGAATGCGAATCCGACCCCCTCTTTGGCGTGGGATTCGGGGCCCGCTTAAAGGGCGAACGGTGCCATTTGGTATCCTACGAGGGGACCATTTGGTGTGATTTTTTTCAGAAATCCAAGGGGGGGGTCAGGACCCCTCGTGACCCCCTCTAAATCCGCCATTGAATATTGTATGACAACATTCAAACTTTTTTAATTGTACTAGTACGAGGTTTTACATAGCGTAGGCCTACAGTAAATTGTAATGCGAAATTTAGGTTTCGATCAATTATCTCAGTGGCGGGTTTAAGGGAGGGTCAGGGGGGCCCTTCAGTTTCTAAAAAAATAACACTAATTTTCCCCTCTTGGAATTAGAATTTTGACTAGCTGATTTATAGTTCTAAACCTTGCCAAATGGCTTCGTTTGCGCTCTAAAATACCAAAATTTTTCAGCGGACTCCGAACCCCACGCCAACGGGGGGTAGGGGTGGGGGGTCGGGTCGGCTTCGCATCGGCAGACCCCCCCCCCCTTCATACATTCCTTGATCCACCCCTTTTAATTCAAGATAACACTTGTGCTGTAACTTCTTTAATTAAAATACAGTACAAAATCTTGGACAAATGAAACGAATTACAAAACAACACTAGTGTTTGGAATGGATGGCTAAAGTGAGGTTGCCAAATTGGCAAAAGAGTAGTTTATCTCAGCAGAGTTTATCTCAATAGATCTTTGCCTTTAAGAATGTACTGGTAATTTATGGAGTAAATTCAAAGAAAACAATTTGAACGCAAACACATATCCTACAAAAGTAAATTCCATGCACCCTTTTGTTTTTTTTTTTTGTTTGTTTTTTCTTTTTTTTTTTTTTTTTTTTTTTTTTTTTTTTGTAAAAAAAAAAAAAAAACAGTTCAAGCAGAGGCTAGTTATTTCACCGCTAAAAAGGAAGGTTATTTAAAAAGAAAGCTGTCTCCAGACTGGATGATTGAAAAAGTTTTTGTGCGATTTCATAATATTAGTAATCAACAATAATATTAAAAAGTCCAAATCAAATGAATGTGATAACAACTCGCATCATTATAAACCTCTGGGCTTCAGGTGCTTATAGTTTTAAATAAACCCACGAAGGACACCACTAATTGTTGTTGTGTGATGCCGTCGCCGAAAGATTATCGAAATGAAGGGCATTACAAAAAGTAAATGCATGAAAAAGTAAATTAAATGTGCTGTAAATTGATTTTTTGGTACATATGCGCGTTACCGACAAAATATAAGTTGATTAATATTGAGGACACCCACACATAGCACTATTAGACAATCTGGATTGTATAATCAGATAAAAGCGTAGTCCGTCGGCAGCTTTATCGGTGTGCTGGGTTAAGCATTTAAAAAGGAATGCTAGGCTTTCTATTTACATTTAGTTTTTGTTCCCCCCCCTCCCCCCCCCCATAAAAACAAATAAAGGCGAATCTAAAATGGAAAAAAAGGGCTTTATTTTAACTAAAAGATGTCAGTGTAAGAAAATTCATATTCGAAAACCTTTCTAATAATTAAAAAAACAATACATATTATATTTTACCCACAATATGTGTGATAAGACCAGGCCTGCTTATATCCAACTTCGCAGTAGATGTCATTAATGCAACTCAGAGCATGAATGGGTACATAAATTTGTGAAGAGGGAAACGCACTTTCACAATTTCTACATGTGTGTGTATGCAATTTTTTCCGCCACCTCCCACGCACACAAAATAAAATAAAGAAAAAAAAGGAAAGGAACCCCCAGCTGTATCTTCTTGTGCTAACATGTTGCCACAGACTTGCCTTATTACTCCTTTTCCCTTGTGTTTCTCCGTTCTTATTTTAAGCGGACGATGGAGTCTGTAAACTTACAACCCTGTATATAATTAAATAAAAACACGTCAATACACTTCCCCGCGTTTACACTCCCACACTGCACGACACTTTTCACTTGGTTTAATTGCATTTTCTCCTTTACACCCAAAAACGTTTATTCCCAAAGGTGAAAAAAATGCACAGGGTTAATTTGTCACATTCAACACGAGACCTTCCATACTAGCAAGTAATCTGTGATACTGAAAGTACTGAATTCATTCGTTCTTCGAATTCAATGCCTAAGTGCAAAGATTTCCGGGGTTCACATTTCCAGGCATTTTTTAAATGTTCAGCCATTACGGCTCAAATCGACTTAAAAACACACCTTCAAAAGTCAAATCATACTCTACTTCATTGATTGTTTTTGTGAGTTCCCCAATGTTTCTCCTTCTCAATATCTTTTGTTTAGAGCCTATACTTTCCCGCCATTCATTAATGTGCTAGCAAAACCTAATAGCGTATATTTATTCAGGTAGTCAACCCCGAAGACACTTATCAATTAAATGTCAAATGGATTTTTAACCTTTCTGAGTTGTCTGAATAATGGGGTCTCAATGTTACTTAATGAATATCTTTTCTTTTCTTCCCTCCCTTTAGCAGGTGTCAATAGAGAGACAGACAGAGAGGACGATCTACTTCACGATTTTAAATTTCTTTGCTGTGTATTGACACGAGATTGGGATTTTTGTTATTGAAGACCTACACGTAATGTTGGGGAGGGGGGGGGGGGCTGAAAACAATTGCCATGCTCGTCACATTCATGCTGAGTCCCCTTTCTTGTCGACTGTTTTGTAGGACAGCTTCGCACTTATTATCTAGAACCTTGTTTTATGCAAGCGACATTTTTTGTCGCCATTGGAATGTAGACTGAAATAAATAATATGCGATAAAGAGCCCTCTTCCAGCTGATTTGAAATATTGGATATGACGCACGGTGCAAATCCTGCATCAAGACTGTAGCACTTGGCATATGACCCTTATAATAGTTTAACAGAGGCAAAACGCAAGAACCCTGTCAGTCTCTTATGGCCATTAGATTGTCAAGGACAGATCCGAAACGTTGATTTGAGACATCACATAATCCTTCAACCTAACATGAATTTTTCATTATAGCACAGTCAACAATTTCGTCTTCACCATACGGTAGTTTTTACTTCAGTATATGATTGAGATTGTTTGCATGAATAACAGTGAAAGATCACTTGTGTGATGGGAATTCAATAAATGTTAAAAAAATAAACAGTTTTGAAATTATGATTTGATACAGAGCAGAAATAGAGAAAACTCTTTTTTCCTATTTAATTTTTTTGAGCTTGTAACAAGACCTAGGCATAACTTGTCTAGCTTACACTGTTTTTCTTTGACGCCCATCTTGGAAGACAAATCCAAATTCTCTTACACTTAAGACGTGCATCTAGGCCATATCACGTAAATTGGATATAATCACACATTTATTGGATGTTTTACTGTGTACAAACTTGGGTACAAAATCGGCTTGACGTGTGTGCTGCCGTAAAATAATAAGTTGTTACATGTCACCTATGAAGTCAATAAAATAATGCTATGAAATTCTTAACTGTATTTTCATTTTATATGAAACCAACGTATTACCAATGCCACGACTTAGAAAAATTTTCATTTCATCCCCTTAGGATTACAGGCTAAATGCAATTATTAATATTTCACCGACCCATTTTACAAGATGTCTACTGAAATAAAACATGAAAATCAGATTTAATTCGTTGTAATCATTGATTCGTTAATTCATTGAAAGCGGCTAATTTGTCAGTCAGAAGTGATAAAGCCGGACCGAAACATTACCCAAGTCAGAACCCAATTGCATGCAAGAAGATGGGGGCGGTAGCTGGGTATAGCAACATGTAGATACAAAATTATTGATCCAAACTATCCGCCACCCACACGCCTTCGCAAAAGGAACGAAAGAATATTTAAAGGCCAAGAGAACTGTGTATACTGCAAATTATCACGAGGTTGTGGGGGGGGGGGGGGGGTTAAATGGACAATGCCCCCTCCTTTTTTGAAATCTGCAACTGCCTGTATCAGTAAACAGTTTATTCATTACATGTAAGTGGCTGCTTTCTGTGCCTCCTAATAAGCACGACGTTGGGACGTATATCCATGTTGGCGGCACGGTTAAATCAACTTAAATTTCAGACAATGAATCGAGATCTAATATCAGGTTTCAGTCCACGACCGAGTCTAGACTTAACGTGATCTAGTGCGGCTGTACATGTATGTACGTAACCACAGAGGTTTGTCCTACTTTTCCATCACGAATCACCTTATCGCGGAGAAAACGCATGGCTTTGGGATGTCTCTGCTCTTGAGCAAAGATTATATCCATGGATTCAGTTTTTACAGTCTCGCATCGCCTGAATGCAAATCGATCACCGAAATAAATACAACTGAATTTGCTTCTTCCAAATCTTAGGACACATTTTTGGTACAATACAGGAATGTCAATAACATATTTAAAAATACACAACGGAGGAAAAAAAATTAGCCTTCCCTAAGGTAGCTTTGATTAAAACATAGATCTCGCAGTTTGAGAAGTCAAATAGAAATTGAAATCAGACAAAAAAAAAACGAATGTATTCGGAAGCAATATGGTGCGTGTAGACTGACTTTGATTTTTATTTATAAGATGCAACAGAAGATGCCACACTGCTTTTCAATCTGTTGTGTCATTTCCTCTGAGTATATCAATGAATCAAATTGAATCGGTTTATACATGTTCCCCTTACATCTTTGAAGTCCCTGGAGTAGACGCGGAAGCTTTTGCCAGCGTCAGAGACAGAGTGCCTTAAAGCTTTGATTATGGTGTTCGCGTTCGGGTAGTGACAACATGTAGTCTGTAAGGACATCTCGTTTTTTAAAAGTATGCTACTTTAAAAATACTAAAGACCATTTTTTTCTTTCAAAAGTTACTGTTCACTTTATATTCACTTTTGTGAAATATCATACTTGGGAAAATATTTGATAACCTAAAATTATTTTGCAGAAATTTGGACAATAATACAAGCTGTGTGAATTATAATTCGGCAATGTATATATGCTGGACACACGTTGAGATAAAAGTGTTTGTAGACACGGTGATAGCTGGTCGATTTATTTGAATGAGGCAAAAGCAACCTGTTAAGCACAGAAGTAGGCCTATGTGTTATCTTTCATTTTATGTTACCGCATCAAATAAATAATTGCCTTGTGGCTGATTGCACGATGTTGTTGATGGTATGGCAATTAAACAGATATGGTTACGCAGATCTCAGTGAACTTCTCGTCAGAAAAAAATTACTCAATTTTGGATTGATTTATCAAGTTGTAACGCAGAAAGACTAAACGAACATCGGTAGTGAGTGGAAAAATAGCTACATGTACAGTTTATTTCGCAAAGACGCTATGAATGGTACCAGAAGATGAGACAGGAAATAAAAAAAAAGTTAGCCTGTATAGTTAAATTAGAGTAAAGCACAGACTGGAGATATTTTTTGACAAATTCAACAATCACTGTTACGTTGCAGATTTTTTTGAGTGCATCTTATATAATTTGGTAAATCAATTGCCCAAAGACGAGATGATAATTTGTTGCGGTGAAACACTTTGGAGTTATTTGCCACTTGTCAGTGTCTCAACTGAGCTCCTACGCTAATGTCACGACATATGTCAAAATATGACCAGTTTCTGGCACCAGCTGATGCTCATGAATTTCACCGAACAATATCGTGTTTTTTTTTTCAAGAATGGATTTGTACAAGATGAAGGCACTAAGCCACAAGTATAACTGCAGTCTAATAGAATCCTGTATCAAGTAATTTTCCGAATACGTATTTGACCGTATTTTCGCTGCTGCTGGATTGCGGCATACCCATGTCGATCAGAGGCTTCATACGGCCGGTTTTTGCTGCTTTGAGTGCGGCGTTTAACATGCCTGTGTGCTTCTGGTCCAATCCTGTGCGTGAAGCGAAATCATCCACGTCTTGGCTCACTACAGAAAATAAAATCAGTACGTTTAGCACACTTCTCCTCTTACGATATATGGCATGATAATATGATATATTTGAAAAACTTTCTCTTTCTTAGAAACAATTATCACTTTAACGTCATTTGCCAGCACAAGGTCACTAATGATTTTTGCAAACATTATCTAAAAAAAAAAAAGAACCTGCATCATAGTTTACTTCATATCTTGACTAGCGTCTTACACTTTATCAACATAACCTAAATTTTAGTAGTTTACGATGAGTATGAATAGTACAAGAGAATACTTACCAGTTAAACCGTGTGCAACTGAGGCCAAAGATTTTCCCGCAAAAATACTGGACATGAGCCATTTTTCTTTGGTTAGGAATAGAACCAAATCATTGAATGCAGGGCGATCCTCTAGAAAAACAAAAAATAAGATAAAATATTATAGACGACTGGTAATGATATATAAGCAACTTACTAGGTAGCTCACCAACGGTAATGTGTTTTTAAATCATTACTGCTTTACTTCCAAATGTACTATTAGTCAAATAGAAAACTCAACCTGATTAAGGTTCGTTCTGTGGAAAGCAAGAGATTGGTTTTGAAATTGTGTCGAATCCTATGGGGAAAACAGTATAATGGAGGGACAGAAATTGTCACGACTTGACAACCTAATTCGATGTTTCGGCTTCTCCCTGGAGTTTTAGTTGGATTCTGCTAAAGAATCAGCCCTAGGGACGTGTCCATTAGGAAGTTCGTTTTAGTATGCGGACTTGGTAAATATTGAATGCGGTTACGAGCAGTTTTTTTAAGTGCAGTTTCTTGAAAGCTTTAAAGCCCCTGATTGTGTAGAAAGGGGGAATTCCGTGCAACGATTCCCCAGCTACAATGAGATGTGCTTTGCTCTCGCACAATGCATCTTGAAATTTACAGACGTTCAAAGTCGTTGGAGAACTATAAAACCGTAAAGTCGCAGGAGAGTTAAATTCATTTTGCGTCCCATTGGGCACAATATCATTTCATTGCCAGTTTTCCAGGTCTCTGATCTTGCATGATATGGCATTTGAATGAATTTTCCGAATAACAACTCCGAAGAATAAAGGCTGGGCTGCAAATACTCTATTGTCACCTGATCTTAGAACGTTCTATTTGATTTGACGTTGCTTAGGGATCTTCACTGAAGCTCAGGTGTAAAACTTGTGTAATTTCTTACTGAGTATAAAGATTCCATTACCAGAAGTGCTCGATTGTATTACTTCACCAAGTCTAGAATAATACATACACTTTGTCAAAACAACTTAGTATGGGGGAATTTGATTGGAATGGATGAAGCATTACTCATATGGCATTGACTCTCTTATAATTGGCCTTATATCTCTTCGTAACGTAATTTTCCCCACAGCCGGCTTGTACATGATGACGAAAGTAAAGGCTCCTAATGTACTTTGTATTCTTTTCCTCTTCTAAGCTCCTTTTATTGTGAATCAAACGCCACTTTTTGAAAATGTTCAAACACCAATGGTCAAATACGCGCTCGCGTGCGCGCCTGTGTAGAAATAATACCATCATTATTCAACAGCAAAACTACTTTATAGTGAACATTCGTTGGGTTATTTGCCTGGAATTTTGCAATTGTATCTCAAAATAAAAGTCTCATCATTTTCAAGGAATCAAAATATGGCTACCCATCTCCACATTACCATCTTGCTCAAATTGAAAACTATGCACTTCTTTTAGGTTTGAAAGTCTATGTGTCGTTCAAATCGCAATTAAGCCGTTGGAAATAGTCATCAGGAAATTCTATACATTGTCCGAACATTTCAGAGAGAAATAGAAAAAAATTCTGGTGTTATCCAGCAGGTCCAAATAGGTTAACCATGTATCTTGCTATTTACATTCCCCATCTACATTTTGATATTTCTAATCCATTATTACCGCGATTAGTGATTTCCATCCTGAGACCCTTCAACCCTCCGCTGTAGTACAATATTTTGTATAATCAAATTGCTGGTTAATACGTGTTACAGCTTTCAATCATTTTATTGCAACAGCAAATCTTAGATGTAAAAACGTGCATACGGTTCTAACCAACACATAACGTAGACATAATCTAATAGGTATATGGGGATGAAAGATAATCGTCAGTATTTCAATATTGCTAAAGCATTTAAACGTATACACTAATGGACTTGTTGCAAGTTATACAACATTGTAAGAATGAGATAAAATTTGTTATTTATATAAACAGACCAACATTTATTTTGTTTAAAGCACTTGTGCACATTGATTGTCAAAACCAGTGGCTCTTGCAGTGGTGTTACTGTAAGATGAACCATACTGTTTGATCGAGATATCGTGTGTCTACTGACTTCAGAACGGAACACTGACTACTGTCAACAAGGACCGTAATAAGATTATTTCAAAGGAAACCATCATTCAGAATTAAGGCAAAGATTTCATTCTAAATCATCCATAGTGGGTATTCATGATCGTAATAACTACAATACGTAACATTTTGATGTGTTATCTTAATAGGTCTAACTTTTAAATGGATAGTGTGGTATCTGCTTGAGGCACCAATCAAGTCACATTCGTATCTTGTTAAATAATCGATGAGAAAACAAATTGAAACAAGTAATGTTTTACACTTTTTGCAAATATTCATCAACATTGGTGTTTCCTCAATTCTTGCCGCAAACATACAGGTTGGACGACTTAAATTTTTTTTCAAAAAAATAAAATCCTTGTATTTTCTCTTGCAATTTTGCGCAATAGTGTGGATGTTAACACAGGTTCTGCACTAAGACGACTGCTATTTCACAGTTACTAATTTTGATAAAAGTGTGCGGTTTGATTAATGTCAGGTAAATTACTGTAGACATGAATAACTTGGTTCATTGCCCACACAAAGTAAATCAATTAGCAGAAGCAAGGGAATCGAACTTTTTGCGGATATTCTTTTTTCTTTCAGATATACTCTTAACTGTTAAGGCCATCATTCAGAACACGCATATTATACTTAGCAACATTAAATTTCTCTGCCTTCACTCATCTCAATATGTTATCCATTCATTTCTTGATTTATTTATTCATTCTTCATTCTAGGTTAGACTATGCCAATAGGTAATGCATTCCAGATCCGTCTACTCACTTGCTTTGCAGAGATCTGGATTTTCATCGTAGCCGTCTTTGCAGTCCGGGCTCTGATCACATACATATTTCAGTGGAATGCACTCGTCAGAGCTCTGGCATGGGAATGGCATGTCCTCTCTGTCACATGGATTACCTGCTAGAAATAAATCTGCCATTAAGTTCTAATAGGAAATAAGAGATGGGTCATTATTCTTATCAAACCGTCTTAGGTTGATGTTTTTTTTTTTTTTTCGCATTGAACACTTTTTGTCGCCATTTCAAAAATGCATCAATTGACAAATTTTAAAGATTATATCCTATGCCGATTTGATAATGATCAATGGCAATAATCAAGTTAAAGGACAGTCCATAAATTAATCAGTCTGCAAGCGACCCGGAAAACACGTCTTGCATAAACTGTGGAGATATGATTGCCTTGTGTCTGGCTAATTAACGATCAACTGTCAAATTCCCTTGAAGATATTAACATAAATGAATGTTTAAATGTAAAGCGTGTTTTTTTATTCTTTGACATAATACCTATTTCATATATGTCAAAATATGGCGATGTTGCGAATTGCATGCTAAAACAAGTTCATTTAATTTCAACTATTTGCCAGTACATTTTCAATGACGCGAATGAAAAGACAAATTAAGGTAGTTACTGTCAAAAGTAAGTCGTGTAATTCAGTTTGAGAACAATGTACGCCAAACGCAATAGAATTATAACCCTGGCAAGATAACAAAAGCCATGAGGACGAAGATTACGGATAAATGCAACGACGTGGAAACAATATATATATGTTACTTAAAGAATATAACTGCTTGGCATGGTTATCGGGTAAAAAATCTTAAATTATTTATGAGAAATGAAAATACATGTATAACGTTGAATCTCCTAAATCAATCGCTTTTTTAGTTGAAGGTTTGTAAACCGTTGAAAAGCTCTATGCCATATAGTAAGTTAACGTCTGGAACAGTTCTCGAAGGACACATTAAAAGGATTTATTAAATCTTTGTCGAACTGCGTTTTAATAATACCGTTGATACCGATTATTTTCAGAATTGATAATCAAATCATCGTCCCTCACGTTTTCGGAAAGAAAAGTGCAACGCTTTGAACGGGATTTCGAAAAAAATGTGCAAATAGGTGTCAGTTTCTTGATATGATAGCACATCAGACTATTCAAAACGTTAAATATCGCCACATACTGTGCGTTAACTAGTAAAAACGTAACTTAAATTATTCCTAATCTATTCAAGTACTTTTGTGATTCGGTTTGTAGGTTTCGAAAAATACATAACCACTCCTAATTTACGCATTTATTTTACAATGCGATGAAGTACTATCTGAAGAAATGAAAGTTTATGCAAGAAGTTGTACAACAAGTAAGTGTTTGAGATAGGCGAATCTTCAAATGAACTTATTTAGCCCATGATATGTCAATGGCAACAAAATAGCTAAGTAATGAAAAACGCTTCATGCGCGCACCACCAACAACGACAAAAATAATCTAGAAACATTTTTGTGGCGTTATTCTAAAAACGTTGAGATTTTAAAAGTATGTCTTGATCGAATAAGATGTGTACTAATTAAAATCACGAACTATGTAGGTCCAAAATACAACAATTTTAAATTGCTTGTAAAAAACGGATGAGCGTACCTCCCCCGCGTTTATCGGCGTATATTTTTCCGAGTCTCCCTGTAAGCCGTGACAGATCCACGCTCATCCCATAACAACAGGCAGCGAAGAGAGGCAGCAGTATTAGTTGATGTTCCTTCTTCATGACTATGGTCTGAAAAAAAAAACAGAAAGAAAAACATTACTATTTCTCTTCTCCAAAGACAAATTGATCAATTATCTTATGAGTCATAACTACAAAGATCCCGTCATGAAAATTCATCAGGAATTACTATTTCGTATTGATAAAATGGGGACTATTCTGGACACCCCGCGTCGCTAATTGGATTTCGACGAAATAATTGATGAAATTTGATTGCTGAAAGCATGAAGGCTGCCAGTAAACTAACGGAAATACATATATTCATAACCGAATTGTTGGCAATGACATCCACTAATTACCGTTCACTGTGCCTCAACAACTAACAATAAAATTGTTTCTCACAATTACATGCGGCATTCGCTTTACATTTTTGTATTAAACTTTACCAAAATAAGAAAACTCAACACAAGAAAAGCGATATTTTCCTTGTGCCACAAATGGTAAAACAAACTTTCTAATTACCTGTGTTATTTCTATGTCCTAGTACAAAACAATCGCGTAAATACTTTTTCTAAAAATCACAAAGTCTGTCTTTGGTTGTGCTTTCCAGGAATGAAGTCTCAATTACTTTCCAAAACTTTGGACGTTTCTACTTGGTATGCTGCCTCGGAAGAGAACAGAATTCCCTGCTATTTAACGTTGCTCCTGGCCCTCTCGCTTATAATTATCATCTAACTGCTGTCGATTGGCCGACACCGTTTTTATATCGAACGTTTTCTACAGAGGGTCTCCCACGCTAGTCCGAATGATGTCATCACTTCAGTCGGGGTTGCCATGGTAACGCTACTTTAGTGATCAAAAATCAACCAGGGTTCTATTTCATTTGATAAATGAAGAAAATTTAATGGCACCGTTGTGATTGTCGTGGGATTATGTAAAATAGAAAGTTTGAGTGGTCGTTTGGACGCGCAGTTTGTTCCTTTATTGTGTTTGGTACCACTAGCTATCTCTTCCGGTTAGATCTACACATGATCATGTTGTATGGTTTACAGCAATCCAAGGTTATATCTCGGTAAGTTTGTACAAAAGTAAACTGCTGCCATGTGATCTACCATGATACCACGTTACACTTAATTTATCCACATAATGTCTAACAACACTTTCATTTACGTGTCTGTTTGTAGGCTGATCCTTTTCGGTATTTCTGAATAAAATCAATGCCCTTGTGTTGCTCTCTGCAAGTGATCTACGTATCAAAATTAATTTCTGACAGACTCTGGTAGGTGTAATTGGATTTTGAATTCGGATGTGTCATCTGCACATTGTATTCTGTGAAGAAGATAAGTCGAGTAGCATATCTAGTCAATTTTCAGCAGGGTTGTCTTCATGTTCTGTGATGTATGATTAGCATTTAAAGACATTGACGCATGTGATAATGAAGTATTAAGTATCCAGTAGAAAGACGCGGACCTCACTGCCAACTATGGGCTGCAAGCCGTTAAAGATGACTGAAGTAAGATGTTAGTGTACAAAATCCTCTGGAGAGAGAGATGGAAGTAGAGAGCAGAGATATCAGGACCTAAGGGGACATAACGACGGATGTCACAGGGGGTTAGTCACGAATATTTGACGGGCAGACCGAAAATGATTAACGCTGCACCAGACGAACTGTTTTAATTTGCAATTTGGAGCGGCGCACCGATTCACTCCCCAGATTCTGTCTTCTGAACACTATAAGAACGCTACTTTGTTCTCTCCAATTCTGACCAAACCCAGCTCACCTTCTCCTACAGTGGGGATAACCAACCTACCTTTTGTATGTTTTTGTTTTTCATGAAGCTCTCAGGTTGATGATGTGGAAAAAAATTGAGACAGTACTAACTCATAAGAAATGCTGCAATGTCTGCATGAACAATATTGATTTCTTGCAAAAGAAAAAAAATTAAAGCAGGAACAAAATTTTTGTCTCCGAGTAAAACGCATTAACGAGGGAAGACAATTGAATTCAAGTCATGTGCGACGTCAAAAACTGCGATCTTTTGCTTTCTACTTGTCCGCCTTTTCCAAGTCGCTCTACACCCTGCATTTGATTTTGTGACATCTATTCAATAATGGATTATAGTCAATGGCAACTCATTCGGACATAAAATTTTTGTATCTTCTATGTTAAAAGACAGTGCATAGCATTGTTACCCTATTGGTAGCCTATGTAGATCTTTTTTGAAAGTAAATGGCGTCGAACCAAATGAAATGAAATGAAGTGTTGACATTCGCAATGATATGACATCCTTAAGGAAACGAGAAATAGTATGTGCAGTATATTGTAATTTTTTTCATATTGAAAACAAGAATAAAATATACAGTAGGAGTCCATGGTGTTTAATTTGTATAACAGTTATTTGTGTAGTTTCTTCTGGAATGCATATGAGGAACAACGATTTCCCCTGCTGCTACGTAATGGTACGCATAGCGTGTTGCAAAGCTCAAGCATACATATATATACATATTTTGGTGTGAAATCAAACAATTCCCTGCATGGTGCAAGACAATAAAACACAAATTTCCTCCTTCGCCTCACTTATATGTTCCGATTTAAACTTATCTGTGTAGTATAAGTATTCGAGTTCCATATATTTCAACTTCAGCACCACGTCTGTCAACCGTATCTTAAAACGCCGCCAGTTAGAGTTGGATAGGCTCTTTCTCAAGGTACCCAACATTATCTGCAAACACTACAGATACGTATCTTCCTTTCCCTCATGGGAGCCAAACGTTTTTTTTTTTTTTTTTTTACCATTTGCTTTGGGATTAATAGTGAACGTAAGGACATTCGCGTCGTTTGTGCCTCGGTGTCCTTTTAACGAAGAAGATAATTTTCAGTTTAAGTGCCCACACAACAATCAATTACTTATATCTTTTTGTAGGTGCCTTTACCCCCTGTAATCAAATAACGTCTTTCATGCTAACTAAGGTTTGTAAAAAATCCGATAAGCAGCTGTGTTGGGACTTCATAGATGCTATTAGAAAAAGCGGATTAACATTCTAACCTAAAATATTGTGTAGAACCGCTCTACAAAGCTATTTAATTCCTCCTGTCAACAATTAGTTCGGTGGGGCTTTTTTTAGTGCAGTGTTTATTCTTTTTGTAAAAACTGTTATACTGATTACAGAAAACAGTGAAAACAGAGCTTGATTTGCATGAACTATAAAGCAACTTACCTTACAACACAAAGTCCAAATGAAGTGTCCAAATTTTTTTTAAATGTTCTTTGCTCGTGTAATGCTTCCCACTGATTCAAAATTTGCGTTTTCCTCTACAGTTCTAATCTCGTGAGGCCCGCGCAAGTTGTACCATCTGTATTAATGAGATTCCACAAATTACTATGTGATAAAACAATGCAAATGCAGCCCCAGCGCTCATTCAATCATTCATTGTCTTCGCCGTTCTTAAATAGCAGCTTTATAAATTGATAACGTGGTCACTTGAATATTTCAATAGTTAACCTGAAAGCATGAATTTTACGCACGTATAGTAAACACGATCAAACTACGGTGATGTAATATCAATAACACAAACCCAAGGATGACATTTATAAGGGGAACATTTCGAGGGAAGTGCTTACTTAAATGGCAAAGTTGCCATGGCAATGCCTTTAAGCAGGTATATTCAAAGTGGCATCTTTATCGGTGCTACGACGGAAACCTATACATTATTCAAACGCTCGGGCCGCCGAAAGCCTTAAACGGCTCTCAGCGCTCCTCTAGGGGAAAATGATTAAATATCATTTGCATATCTCACCACTACATCAATTCAATTTCACGATTGATTTTCAACTGAAGCAGATATGGGTCTGACCTCAGTGTGTTCTTCACTCGTAGCTTACGACACCAAGGTTCAAAAGCAGCTCTCTAGATTAAAGCTTTACCAAACAGGGAACGCTCCTAGGAGACCTCTCAATGGGCCTCGTCATGGAGGACTCGGTCACAGGTGTTGGCATTATATAGATTTCACGATGGAAATCGTTTAACGTTATGTGTTACAGAAACATAATGGATTTTTGAGGGGGGAAAAGCCTGCGCCATAAGCTTCTCGTAATCCTCCTCTGTGCTCTCTGGGAATCAACAATTTAGACATAATGCTATTATTATTGGGGTTAAATGAAGTGGTGGCTATCCTTGCTGCCCATATCTGAGCGCCAATCTGGATCAATATATTTACAACTCCTTGTGTAGGCGTTGTACAAGTCACGGAATATGATTATATTATGCTTTAACAGGGAACTACACGTATAAGTGATTATTTCAAAATGCGAACACTTGCATGATACAAAAAATATGGGTCGCAAAGTGACTCTGGTAAAAACTCTCTCTCTCTCTCTCTCTCTCTCTCTCTCTCAGTTGGATGTACATGTAGAGGCCTATGTTATTGCGTTTGACGGTACAAACGGCAATTTAAGCCCAATGAATCTAATAACCAGAAGATAACGCCCTAGAGATTTACAAACATGTTATCTCATCCATTGAGTCGGCATGGCTTGGCATCCTAAATATATCCAATATGAATCTGGATTTCAAAAGGCATTGTCCTTTTGGACTGATTTCATCTTAATTTTTCGCAGCTATTTTTATACAAATAAATGTATAATTGACTTTGCAGTGAATAGCTGCTGGATTGTGATATCAGTGACTTTAATAAGAAAAAAATAGTTAGCGTTTTTCTTTTCTTTTTCTTTTTTTAATCTATTCATTTATTGCGCCATCTACATAAATTTATTTTGCGTCATGCTTAGGACCATTTTGGATTCTACGCGCACAATACACTTAAACAATTGGGTTTTCCATGAATCTCTTAGATTGATTGTTCCAATTTAAGATATTCTCTCTTTTTGTTTTCCTTAATCAAATACACCAAACCCAAGATGCCCGTTTCCTTTGTTTGAATTAATTTGTAAAGGGGTCGTTTACCTTTGGAGTCAGTTCCCCCCGTCTCTACTATGGGCACTTAGTTTATTTAATGAATAGTATCTTAAACAAAGTTTCGGTACCATTTAGGGTTCGATGCTTACCTCAGTTGGATACAGTTGTAAGAGAATTTGCATTAAAAGATAACCTCATTTATGATGATATACGGAAGAAAATGCAGAACGCAGTTCTAGGACTGGCCATACAAATCTTTGTTGAAAGAGAAGAATGCCTCGGAAGCGTGTTCTCTGTATTTGGGAACTTACAAGCCAGCATTCCGCCAAGAAATCAATTATGCTTTACTTGATACAAAATATTTTAAAGAAATGCAATTTGGCGAAACGCGTTTATTCTTCACTTGTACAACAGTGTTATTTGCATAAGGAAATTAAAATATGGCGGCATTTTGCACTCTCATTCAGTTACCCTTTTTCTTGCAGACTGCGTCTGTCAGTTCAAACATATATTCTTCATGCGAAATATATACAATTCACTCTTTCATTTTTGTAAAATGAATCAGCAGATTGCAATACTTAAGTTTCTCTGTGCAAACTTTAATTGGTGTGTAGTGCCCTTCTTTTGTTTAGTTTATATTGACAACAAGCAGAGGAGGGGAATATCAAACATTGTGTCCCAAAAACATAGTTAATTAATGGAAATCCGTATCGTTTTTTTTCTTCCTTTTTTGTTACCTCCTACACAGTTTTGTCACCTGCATGCAAGGCAAGTTTGCAGGCAAGCGCAAACTTACCACTGAAATACAAGTATTTATAAAAACAGAATAGGCATTTGGTAAAAAGACATTAGGTTTAGAAACCCGAAAACCGGGAGCGCATGAGCGCGTCATTTCGTCCTACGCTGTGATACACGCTTTTATGTAGCCTTGATACGTTTTGGTAAACTTTTAGATCACAAGAATGACCTATCGAACAATTTTGCCACTGATACCAAAATCAGTAATATACGAAGGTAATGACCACTTAATGCTGAGTCATTAGAACCATTAGAGTGCGCATAACCATTATCAAATCTCCCATATATCTGCTACTCCATCTGAAACATCCGGCCGAAACAATTGATGATCGTTCTGATGAAAAGACAGTTATTTCATTTGTCTTTGTCCCAACAATGCCCAAAGTGGCGCAAAAATTCCTTAGCTCGGCTATTGACGTATTGTCAGTAATACCTTGCTGCACCATTTCAGTGACATTATGGTGCATTTCATCGCTGAGTAGCGTTTTTTTTTTTTTTGCCGTCTTATGCAATTGCCCACTCATTGCAAGCTGTATATCGCCTGTTAGTTACTGTAAAACGATCGCTGCATGATTGGTTTACCCTGCCGTTGAAATAGTATCGTTAGTAAAACCAGTATATTCATATCTAATTTTCTTGCAGGACGACCTCTCACATGCAGTATATTCTCTGTTGAGTCAACAGCAATACCCAGATGGTCATATCGCTGTTATCCCATTGTAATATAGCCGTTGCATTATATTGCCTATAGTGTAACTTAAAAGGAGTGTATTTGTTCTAGGAAGAAAGAAACTGGCCGACGGAGAACAGAAAATTATATTTAGTACATATCCCGTTTTTAAATATTTTAAAGCATTTACTGCGTATACGCGGAGGGATTTCGTGTTATAAAAATTCAAGTTTTGAAAAAGGAGGTCCAATTGTTACAAACTGCTTCTGGGAACTTCAGTGCATCTAAAATGATTGATAGTGTGTTCATGTTTTGTTTGGGAATACATGAACATTGTCGTGTCAAGTGGTTTCCCAAACTTTATTGTATTATAAGGTAGAGCAGACATTTTATTTTTCTTTGATGCTAGGAAGAAATAAGACTAGTGATAGCTGTTAACACACAGTAAAGGGGATATACGATCATAGTGTGCGGGATATATAACCAAATATGGCAATCACCGGTGCAAAATATGCACTTCCAGTGCCAGAAATAAAACCTCAAAAGTCGGAAAATGTCATATCACAGGTTAAAACAAGTATTTAATCAAATGCACGTATTTCTGTACATTCCCAGACTCTTACTTTTCTCTTTGGACTGATATGACGCTAAGCGTTTGGTTGAAATTCCATTTTTCATGATACTGCTTTATACAATTCACCAAAGGGTAATCAACAGGCTGCCCCAGGGGGGTCATTACTCTAATCTTTCCACTTACGAAAACCCAAGTAATTTGCTGTAAACATTAACGTCTGAGTCTTCGTGGAATTAGGACCCCGTAGAGGCTGCATCTGCGGGAGCCATTAAACAATTAGATTTATCAAGACGCATTGACCTAATAGACCCATAGGGCTCTACCTTTCCAACTCCTGCCTTAAGTTATAAAAACATAAGCTTACTACTTAAGTATAGAGCAGACCAAAACTGTTCGGACATGAAGCTGACATTTTACTCACAAAGCTGCTTCATTCCAACTTTCTTTTGAGAATTTATATCTAAATTGGCAATTTCATCATTCACTGACTCAAAAAGTTATTCTTTATAGAGCACGAAAGTGTGACCAATATTCTGTAGGCACTCTTATACCAAAGCAGAATAACCGTAAAATACTGTTTAAATTGTCAAGAGTTTTTACTTAAGTTCCTTCACGTGTATAAAGAATATTGTTCTGTAACAAATAAGCAAGCAAACAAACAAACAAATAAATAAATAAATAAATAAATAAATAAATAAATACATACATAGGGCCTAAATAAATAAGTAAATGCACCCCAGTCAAATGTCAACATAGTTTCAAAGGGAGAGGCAATAACATCGATTTAATTGAAACAGTAATCAAATACCGCGACAAATAAAGGCCCTCAAGAACCATTAGAGCAAGCAACCTGAAGCAACCATCAACACTCCCATACTCCATTGCCCACTTTATTTGGACAGAAATTCTATTAAAACTAGGTTTCCGTAAGCGGGCTGAAAAATGACACACAGCCAAATGATTTACAAAAACCTATCCGTTCCTTATCGAAGCAGCTGCGGTACATGGCATTCCTATCTATCACTGAGAAGATACTTTTGTTTCGATTTCCGTGTTGACGTAGGCCAATTTGTACAACAGGCAAAAAACATTGATATTTTCTCCGAGTCTCTTTTAGGTGTAAATATATATATATATAGCATAACAAACAAGAGTGTTGTGCAAGACACTAAAGGAACTTACCCTATGTTATGTAGGCGACTTGAGTAGTAAAGAAAACTGTTTTTTTTTATCGTGGTCAGATAATCTTTTGACTAATCGTTAACGTGTCACCGGGGGGTTCGGATTTTTTTGACCGAAGAAGTACGAGTGAAGACGTAGCGGTTTTTGTGTCATACTGCGTCAAGCGTCTTCATTTGTAACCCCGTTGGTGACATATCGGTTCTTTATCTACTAGTCTTTACAACTAGGAACGAGCATACTGCGCATTGTTTACTGGGTCCTACATGTAGTTTCCAACAAACGCTGGCGTAGTGCCAGCAAGATCCATTAGAGAATCGTAGATTTGTTTGATTTGAATGACAGAACGCGAGTTCAAGAGGTAAGGATACACCCAAGTAAACTACTATAGTTAAATGATATGCCACAGATCTA